TCCGCACTGCCGTTTGGCCAGCCCATGCTCCCGTACCGTTGCGTTTCTCCCCAATGCGCCATGCCACTTTGCCAGTCATACACACGTTTCGATGCGTGCCCTGTCAGCTGCTTGCGTTGCATGTCGCCTTGCTCCACCCCTGTTTTATTGCTTTCTCTGCTTTCGCCCGGTTCCCGTCCCGTTTCGGCGGGGAGTCTATGTTGCAAGCTAGTTCTTGCTTTACCAGACTTTAAGCCCACACAAGCAAGCATGTCAGTGATTGCCATCCCCAACATGTCTGCGCCGGTTATGACCTGGAAAAGTCCCCCAGGGAACTCAACTTTCCTGCAGTGTCCGGGGCAGGTGATGCGTACCCAATGACCCGCCGTGTGCTTGCAGCGGCGCGGTGGCCGGGTGCCGCCGCTGGCCCGTCTGGCAATGCAGGCATGGCTGGCTGCAACGCAGGCGTGGCCGGCCGGCACTCCACACCCCACACTTACGGTGCACCAGCAAAGCTGCTCCTGATGAGGCTCGAGGTGCCTGCAACCCCGCAACGCATGGTCATCACAACCCGACTGCGCCGGCGCTGGGCGCTGCACCATAGATGGGAGGCACAACAGCAAGTCACATCCGCACACCACGCACCTTCATACTCCGGCCATGGGAAGGGGTAGGCTCTATCAGCCGCGCGCGCAGAGGCAGCAGCCGAAAGCAGGGTTGCAAGGGCCAGGATGCCGAAGCGGGAGGCACACATGGCTGCTGCTGGCGTGCAAATGTGGGGTGCAAAGAGGGTCGACGTTCAGATTGACGCTAGCTCTCTGAGATGAGAGGGAAGCAGGGATGGTACAATCTTGGTTCGGCAGCTGCTGGGGAAGCTGGGGAAGGTGGTCGTCTGAGGCCAAAAAAAACTATGCACAAGACCTTTCGCCCCATGCACAATCTCCCAGCAGTTTACAGCCGCTGCAAGTTCAGTCAGGGCCAGCATCCAAGGGGGGCGACACCCATGTTCACACACCTCGCTTCTTCTGCTGCCCCCCGCTTGAAAATGTGCCTCCTGATGCGTGGTGAGGCATTTATGGACGCAGGAGGAGCAGTAGGAAGCTAGGGTTTTTTTTTCTGCTACGTTGGAGGCCAGGTGGCAGCCACCACACTCACACAAATTACAGCGGCTCGCACCATTGCGATCACAGGGAGCCGACCCACGGTCTTTGAGGCAGCCTTGTCCCTGAGGCACTCAAGCGAGGCCACGGGCTGTCGCGAAGGAAGTTGCTAGCTAGCAGGAGACCAGAAAACGGCTGCAGTGTGCAAGCAAATCGACTTGCGCCACTCAGCCCAGCGATGGTGGAGGCAGAGCCACTGGCGCCGCTGCCGGCAGACAGTGCCGAACACCTCCGTGCCCAGCAATATGCTGCTGTGCTGGAGCGGCTGGAGCTCCTGCTGCAAGGCGCGGAGACTGCCAGACTGGCAGAGGGGTTGCATAGCGAATGTGCCTGTTGCATCAATGCAGCCCCCCCCACCCCCCCACCACCACCCCACCCACCACCACCACCACCACCACGCTGTTTGCAGGCGAGAGCGACTGGGTTGCGGCGATGGCCACGGTCGCCTGCGAGCTCCATGCCGCATTCTCCTACTTCAATTGGACTGGTTTCTATCAAGCACTGCTGGGGGCAACAGCAGCAGAGAACTCAATAGAGAGGAGGATGCTAGTGATTGGGCCGTACCAAGGTGGACTCGCATGCCTGCGCATCCCGTTTGGCAAGGGCGTGTGCGGCACTGCGGCCCAGACCCGCCAGACGCAGCTGGTCCCAGACGTGCACCTGTTCCCGGGGCATATTGCCTGCGCCTCCAGCACCCAGGTGCGCCGCTGCTGCTGCCATCACAAACGCTTCCGAAGCGACAGCTCCTGGCTGCTGCACTAGGTACCTGCAGCGCTTCTCCCCATACCCACCGCAGTCGGAGATTGTGGTGCCTGTTCTTGGCCCAGGCGAGCAGCTGCTAGCAGTGTTGGATGTAGACTCAGGTGGGTCCCACCTGAGCTGCAGCAGGCGCCACCATCCCGCTCTGCATCTCGCTTTATTGCTGGAAGCCTGTCCAGCAGCCGGTCGTTTTGGTTTTCTCCTCCACATTTGCTGCAGACTTGCCAGCTGCATTCACCCAGGTTGATGCCGAGTGGTTGGAGAAGGTGTGTGGGCGGCTGGGGGCGCAGCACTGGGCCACCGGCCTCTGACTTGTCTTGTTTTGCAGGGAGGGCAGGGAGGGCAGCCCAGGGTAATCAGACGTTGAGCCACTTTGACGCTTCTGACACTCGTTACAGCCAGCCATGTTCAACTCAACAGTAAGGCAGGGGCACATTACATTCTCGTGCAGGCGTCAGGAAGCAGAGTCGTGCAGTGTAGATGATCTTCGAAGCTTGGAGGCAAAATGTGGAGAAAACTGTGTGTGGGTGTTTAGTGGGGATGGAGGCCAGTGCGATCTGCTGGGCATGTACAGGGGTGGTCGCGGCAGAAGCTCAGAGCCAGGGCACACGAAATGCGAGCGCCAGGTGGCGAGTGAGAGTAGGGGTGGGGCGCAGTGCCAGCAAGTGCGGATGAAGCAGGGGGAGTTGTTGGAAATTGGTCAGGGCATCCTGTATGAATTGCGTCCAACTCGGCAGGATGAAAACTGAGTGAGGGATGCTGCCAGAGGCGTGGCTGCCGCAAGGGTGGACACAGACGGGACCCACAAAATGCACAAGCACGCCTGAAAAGAACACAACCTATATAGATAGCGCTACGGGTGGGGGGCACGTGTGTGCACGACTGGAGCAGACAAGGACGTTGAACGCTAACTAGTAATCATGGTACGGCGTGGCAGTGGGGCGCTGGGCGGCTGTGGCGGCTCAGCTCCAGTCGGCGGCCTGGCTGGCCACCGAGGACGCCGGCTGCCGCTGCTGCTGCTCCTGCGCGCCGCTGCCAAAGATGCGGCTGGCAGCTGAGTTGGCGGCGGCAGAGAACTCTGAGGAGTAGTCGGTCTCCAGCCACTCGCCTGCAGCAGTTCAGGGCAGTGGAGCAGCACACGATGAGCGCGGGCATGGGGATAGCATCCCTAGAGCCAAGCATACCGATTTTGCCGTCGGGGCTAGCAAGATGGGTGTTGGCTGGCGCTGCCTCGCCAGTGTGCCTGGCGGGCGACTGCACCCCAAGCGCCCCCGGCCTCACCTGCCAGCAGCTGGGACATGGGGTCAAACTTGGAGCGCTGCGCGCGGCTGGGCGCCGCGGCCTGCAGCACCTGCCTGGCGGGGTCAAACTTGCGGCCGCCCGCGCCGTCGGTGGCGGGGTCCCAGTCGCTGCTGCCCGCTGCCCAGCCATCCATGATCCAGGCCAGCGGGTCCCAGCGCCCGCTGCCCACGCTGGCCTTGGTAGGCGCCTCGGCTGCCAGCAGCGCCGCGGTGGGGCAGTAGGGGCTGCGCCCGGCGGGCGCCTCCCAGCCCGCGGCGGCATCCAGCGCCGCCGCCACCATGCAGTAGCGGGCGCCGCCGGTGGGGCCGCGCCAGTCGGGCGAGCTGGCCGCCGCCAGCAGGCCGGCGGCGGGGTCGTAGCGGCTGGCGCCAGCTGGGGCGGCGGCTGCCGCCGACAGCGCGGCAAGCAGGTCTGGCAGGGGTCGTACTTGCTGGAGGCTGCCGCCCGGCCCTGCTGCACAGCCACAACCAGGTCGGCCCAGGGGTCGTGGCGCAGGCCCACAAAGGCGGTGCCGCCCGCAGGGGCCACCGCCCATTCAGACAGGCCCGACAGCGGGTCAAATTGGAGCTCCCCACTCCTGCGGCCGGGGAAAGAAAGGGAAAGGAGGGGGGGGGGAGGTGGGCGGGGCGACGAGCAGCCGGCAGGAGCGGCAGGGTGTTGTGCTGGGATTCCAACCAGGGGGGCCTGCTCCCAGCCAGTGCGCAGCTGCCGGTGCTGCAGCAGCAGCCAAGATGCCGACCCCCGGCACCCGCTGCCCCCACCTGCAGCATCGTGGCCTCCTTCAGCAGCCCCCACACCGGGTCAAACTTGCTGCCGCCGGTGGGCTCCATGCTCTGCAGCGCGGGCAGCAGCAACGTCGGTGGCAATGGCCCCCAACAGCGGCAACGGCAGGCCGCGCAGGCACGCTGGCACTGGCACTGGGGCAGGGGTTGGCGGGTGCTGCGTGGTTGCATGCGTGAGGCTGGGCAGGGCACACGCACCTGCAGCAGGCTGCGTGCCATGTCAAAGGGGCTGTCGCCGGCGCCGTCCGCGCCGGCCATGCCGCGCAGCAGGCTGCGTGCAAAGTCGTAGCGCGGCACGCCACTGGAGGGCGTGGCTGCCAGCAGCGAGCGCACAGGGTCGTACCGGCTGTCGGCCTGCAGGCGGGGGCGGGGCGCGACAGCGCGGCGCAAACATGAGCGCATGGTGCGGAGCGCGCGTGAGCTCTGCGTGGGCCGCGGCCTCAGGGACCTGCCTGTTGACCCCAGCCTGCCACCTACCCTTGCATCGGGGGCCGCGGCCGCCGAGGAAAGCACATCCAGCAGCATGTCGTACTTGTTGCGCCCCGGCGCCGCCGTGGACCCGGCACCGCCAAACAGGCCCGCCAGCAGCGGCGCGGCGGGCGCCAGCAGGATGCTGAGCGGGTCCCACCGCTTGCCGCCGCCGCTGCTGGCGCTGGCAGCGGGGGAGGCGGCTGCAGGCGTCTCGCGGCCACGCCCCCCGGGGCGTGCCAGTGCTGGGTCGACCAGGGGTGCAGCATCCTGCGCCAAAGCGGCGTCGAGGGCCTCCCGCCCGCCGCGCCCGCCCGGCCGCTCCAGCGAAGGCTGAGACACGGGCACAGCTTTGGGCAGCGCTGTGGCAGCCTCTGCCGTGTCCCTGCCGCGCCCGCCTGGGCGCTCCAGCGAGGGCGCAGCCATGGCTGCAGCTGCAGATGCATCAGCAGTCATCTTGCCAGGCAGCGCCGCGGCAGCCGCCACCGAGGCATCGGCCGTCATCTTGCCTGGCAGCGCCGCCGCGTCGTCACTGGCTGCAGGGGCGGCTGCCCACTGCTGCGCCAGCAGCTGCTGCACCTGCTGCAGCTCCCGCTCTGCTGCCGCCGCGGCCGCCGCCCCCTGGTCGGCAATGACCCTCGCCGCCGCCGCATCGGTGGTCAGCTTGCCGATGCTGCCGCCCTCTGCAATCACCTCCATGTCCACCAGGGCTGCCGCCTCCGCCTCGGCAACCGCCGCCTCGGCCACCTCCAGCGCCGCGGGCGAGTCCTGGTCTGCTGCCGCCGCCTCCAGGGCGGACTGCGCAGCGGCGGCCTTGGCGGCCGCCTCCTGGGCTGCCACCAGCGCCGCCAGCTCAGCGGCCTTGGCCTGCTGGTCCTGCTGCTGCTTCACCTCAACAATGCGCTGCTTGGCGGCGGTGATGCGACGCGCCGCCTCCGCCTGCCGCTCCTCCAGGGTCAGGCCCGCCCAGCCAGCGCCGCCAGCCGCCGCGTCCGTGTCGCTGCCGGCCTCGCCGTCGCTGGCCTCGTCGCCGGCGTCGGCGTGCTGGCCGCCAGCCGCAATGCGCTGCCTGGCCGCAAACAGCAGCAGGGCCAGCATTGCCGTGGTGAACACAGCCAGCGACTTCTGGGTCTGGGGGTCAGACAGGTTGGTGGCTGCCAGCGCATCGGAGACCTGCGGCAGGGAAGGCGGACATGTGTGGTTGCCCAAGCAAACATGTGCGCTCATGGAATTCAGGCAGCGGTCTTTGTCACCTCATCCTTGCCTACATGAGCTGGTACTGAGCCAGCCAAGCATGCGCGGCCCCTCCTCCTTGCACCACACACCTGTCCTCCCAGCTGGTCGGCGCGAGTGGCCAGGCCCCGGGCATAGGTGGCGGCCGCCTGCGTGGCGGCATTTGCCGTCTCGGCTGCCTTTGCTGCGGCTGCTCGGGCTGCCTGCGCGGCTGCCACTGCAGGTGCCGGCGCCGAAGCTGCAGCTGCGCCCGTGCGAGTTGCAGGCGCAGCAGCAGGGGCAGCGGCCACAGCGGGCGCTGCCTGCTCCTGCACATCTGCCTTGACAGGCGAGGCGGTGGCTGCCGCCACTGGGGCATGTGCCTTCTTCACTTTGCTCCGGTCGGTGTAGAACCTGCACCACACCCAAGACGTGGCAAGAAGGTGCCGGCAGCCTGGTCAGATGCTCGTGCGAGGCAGCAAGCCACCGTGCACCAGCAGAGCAGACGTGTGGGAGAGGAGGGTCTGTGTGCTCACGTGTGGATGGTCCCGTACTGCCTCTGGTTCCAGGGACCACGGCTGTACAGCCACGACTGCGCCGCGCCTGTGCTCTCATCAATCACTTCGCTGCATCCAATCCAAGTGACACAGCACAAATGAGCAGGCCGGCCAGCAAGTGCTGCTGCAGAGTGGGGGAACAGGGCGGCATTGCAGGCACCGCAGCCTGTCATCTGACCAGCATGGCGTGCAACTCACGGAGGTGTGGTGCGTTGCGCAACAGGGGTGCTGCTCGGAGGGGGCGGCTTGGCCCAGGCCGCCCCAGGAGCCAGGCCCAGGTTGGCGGCAGCCAGCGGCAGCAGCAGCGCAAGCTGCAGGATGAGAGAGGGTGATGCTAGCGGTGAGCGGCGTGCCATCACTGGTCTCCTACTTTCTCCCCATGTGCAGTGACAGTCACAGAAGCCGGGTGGCCATGTGGATGCTGGGGGAGCGGCGACTTACCCCTGCCACAAGCCGAGATAGCACAGGCACGCCTGGCTGAGGCGGGCTCTCCAGGGCGGGGACCAGCTCCTCCTGCACCGACGTTGGGCAGCGCACATGAGCATGCCAGAAACGGGTGCTGACAAAATGCACAAAGCCCAGGCCAAAGCTGCGCACCCACCTGGCCGTCCCGCCCCGCTGCCGTCGCGACTACGCGCACGCCAAGCTTCCTGGGTGCGACCAGGCGCCGACATCCCGCCCCATGGCTGTGTAGCGACCTGGAGCGCCGCTGGGTGAGCGCCCCGCGCTCCTGCAGCGCCCTGGGCTGCAGCTGGGCGGTCGTCATGCAGCCACGGGAGGTGGCACCCTTCTAAAAGCTACAGCAGCAAGTATGAGGCTCTCGGTGCCGGGGCAGAGGGGCTGCGGTTTCGCGCCACGACGTTGTCGAGGCCAGGGTGCGGCAGCTGGGCAGCCTGCGGGTCTGTGGAGGAGCGCTTCAAGACCGCCCCAGCCACTCAAGGGTCCAGGAAGTGGCGATGAGCGTGCAGGAAGGGCTTTTGAAAGGCCTTAGCCGCACCGATCTGTTCCGAAGAAAGGTTTTGCTGCGCGCAGCAATACCTCACATCGGAGCCGCTGTGATGGTCAGGGTGGCTTTGCGTCATGCAGCGAGCAGCGGGCTGCAAGTGTGTTCTGCCTGCCCCTGCCGCCGCTTGCCGCCCCGCCTTCACGTCGCCTACCACTCCCCCTCTGCTGGTTGCGGCATTCAGTGCCCCTCCTGCTGGTTGCGGCATTCAGTGCATGCCTTCAGGACCAAACACAGGAGGAGAGCCACCCTGGACCTGGAGGCGCAGGCATGGTAGGCAGACGACGGGACGGGGGTGTGGCAGCCGGCACCTCCGGCGACTCCATCCTGTTTCTTGGAGGCCCACCAGCCCATTTACCATTCCCACCCAACTACCAGCTCACTGTGTACAGTGTGGCGAGGGAGTGTTGCTAAGTGTGGGTGTTACAGCGGGCGCGCTGTCCCTGGAGGCGGGTAGGCAGGTGATACCGCAGAAACCCACGCAGCACACACGGCGGCCTTGCCACCCTGGTATTGCTGGGGAGGGGCGCCCTGCCCCTCCTACTCCTGTTCCGAGCTAGCGCGGTGCCCGCCAGCTGCCGGCGGCGTGTTTGAGCACCGCCTACGTGGCGCCAGCTCATCATGCGCGGGCATCCTTGGCCAGCGCCTTCTCCCGCTTCTTCATCACCGCCTGGCTCTTGGGGCCCATGATGCCGCCGCCCCAGCTGACGCGCGGGCCGTCATTGTACATCGTCTGCAGCAAGCGACACAAGAAAGGCAGTAGGATGAGTGGGCAGGGTACGAGGAAGAACGGCAGGGAAGCCCAGGCCTTTGCTGCCCTGGCTGCTCCTGCCCAATCCACGCCAGCCTGCCAGGTGAACAGCCTGCTCCACAGGCTGGCTGCATCCACACGACGCTGCCAGGCGCATGGCATGGCTGGCGCCCGCCTCGCCACCCGCACCACAATAAACCACACATCAGCACACAGGCGCAGAGGTCAAAGGAGGCGCACCTTGAACGACTCCACCAGCTTGGCAAACTCGCGCTGGTCCTCGTTCTTCACAGTCGTCAGCGCCAGCGCGGTGGCAGTCTTCTTGTGCACCACGGTGCCCAGCCGCGCCTTGCCCTGCAGGCGGTGCGCACAGTGGGCCAGGCCGGGCGCAGTCAGGATCTGGGGACCAGCCAGGCAGAGGACAGCCAGAGGGCAGCTGGGCCAGGGCAGCTGCTCTCAGACCATCCATCCGGTAGGGCTGCCCAGCCGGCCGTACACCCAGCCAGCTCCGCGACCAAACCCTCCGCACACCATCAGGAGCCGCCCGTCCCCAGGTGCTCAGCCTCAGAGGCCCAAACACACGCGCATGCAGCCCCAGCAAAACACGCACCTTGACGATGCAGTAGGGCACACCCATCTTCTTGCACAGCGCGGGCAGCCAGACCACCAGCTCAATGGGGTCCACGTCGTGCGCAATCACCACCGCCTGCGCCTTGCCGCTCTCCACCAGCTGCGTGATGTGGTTGATGCCGTACTTGACCACCACAGGCTTCTTCTTCTCAACCTCCTGGCCTGTAGGCGGGCAGGGGCGCGCGAGCGGCGGGCAAATGAGTTCGGGGGTCGTGCGGCGCAGCAGCAGCACACGGAATCCGCCCAGCGCCGAATGGCTGGGCGCTGCAAGGGAAGAGCAGTGCACGAGGCGCAGCCGGGGCCGGGGCGCGGCAGGCGTGCGGGGCGCAGCGGTCGGCGGCAGCAGCCTGGTACGCACCCGCCTCCCGCGCCTGCGCCTCCTTGAGCAGCCGCTCCTTCTTGGCCGCCTTGTCCTCGGGGCGGTACTTCATCAGCAGCTTGAACAGGGTCTCAGCCATGTTCTTGTCCAGGGTGCGGGTGAAGCGGTTGAGCGCTGGGGGCACCTGCAGCAGCACAGGCATGGCGGCGGCGGCAGGTCAGCGCGGCGGCCGCGTGCAGCGGTGGCACCACATGGGGCGCGCAGCCTCGGAGATCCCCTCTGCTTGCTGCGGCTTGGCCCGGGGCGGGGCAGCAGGCAGGCTGCTGAACGCCCGCTGCTCAAGCTTAGCTGGAGGTGCTGGCTGGCCTGGCTGGCTGTGCTGGCCCTGCTGCCCCGGATTGGCGCGTGGCGCCTGGGCCGCCTGCCCCCCGCCGCACCGCAGCAGCCATGCCAGCTGCCAGCCAGCCACCACCGCTGCCACACATGATGGCCCCGCTGACACATGCCGCGTTCAAGCTGGGGGCCAGGTCCGGCTGGCACGCATGCTGATATGCGCGGAGCCCGGCCCGACGCCCATGTATGCTGCTGGGCTGCGCATGTCCCAGCCGCGGCCAATGCCAGCCTGACGCTGTCAGTGGGGTCTCTCAATGCTGCAAGCTCCCCAGCTGCATCCTTGCTGGTCATGCTGCCAGACGCTCCAGCCACGCTGCACCCAACTCGTGCGGTAGCTGGCTGTGCTGGCCGCATCTGTGGCCGCTAGAGGGAATGCTTTGCTCCCCCTGCCAGCCCCATCCCTTGTGCGCAGGAGCATGCAAACTGCAGGTGCCGCAAGCAGGAGCATGGGGGAGGGCCGCCATGCCAGCATGCCGCAGTGCCCGCACCTTGAGGCGCTGGTTGAGCACACGCCGCTGCCGCTGGATGCGCACATACTTGGGCCACTTCACAAAGCGGTGCATGTCCCGCTTCATGGGCAGGTCGCCGCCAATGCCTGCGGGCCGCCGATCAAAAGGGATGCAATCAGCACGTGCAGCAGTAGCAGCAACAGCAGCAGCGGCGTCCAGGCGGTGCCCGCCGCGTCACAACGCCGGCTCGCCGCCGACCCGCTGCCACCTCCCCGGCAGCCCCTCCCCGCAGGCGGGCAGCGACACGCACTGAAGGTCTTGGGCCGCTTCTCATAGAGGGGGTTGACAGGTTTAGCGGGGGCCGCCGCCTTCTTCACGGCGGACGGCGCCGCCGCGACCTTCTTGCCCTTTGGCGCCTGCAGCGGCGATGCAGACAACAGGCGGGGGTTACTTTCACGCATTACGCGGGCAGGCAGCGCTGGGGCAGCCCGCAGGGCCGTCAGCCAGGTGGGCAGCATGCCATCCGCGTGCCCTGGCGGGTTGGCGGGCGTCTGCCGCATCCCTGACGTTTGCCAGAACCAGCCATTCGCCCGCGAGCCGCCCCAGCGCCCCCAGCTCCCCGGATTGGACATGCACGCCATGCACGCCCCGCTGCTTGCGCTGGCGCTCCGAGGACTCACCATGTTGGTGCACCTGAGACAAGCACCAAAAAAGGACCAGTCGGGGCGTGGGAGGCGCCTTTGGCGCCTTGCCGCCCGGGTAGAATGGGGGGCCTCGTTGAAGTGGCAAGCCCTGGCTTCCCGCTGCACGTTCAGTCGCGTTCAGAAGCGTTGCCAGAGGCTTGTGGCGCCCCCGCACACACCATCACAGACCCCGCCCTGCGTCATGGACACCGCCCCCAATCAAACGCTCTACGTTTCTAACCTGCAGGAGAAGATCAAAAAGCGTGGTAGGGGCGGCGGCGGCGGCGGTGGGGCAGCCGTGGGGTGCCCCTGCAAACGTCTCGATGGCCGCCGCCTGCACTCACCCGCCCGTCCACCACCCCGCTCTGCTCACGCCTGTGCCCTGCAGAGTTGAAGCAGCTGCTGTATGCCCTGTTTGGGCAATTTGGCAAAATCGTAGACATCGTGGCCATGCGGACCGACAAGCTGCGGGGACAGGTGCGGCAGTGCACTGCAGGGAGCAGCGGTGGCACTCCCACACCCAGCTCTTCATCGCATCCAGGCACCTGCCACTGCTGTCTACTCCTGTCTGACTGTCATGCCGCTGCATGTGCAGGCCTGGATCGTGTATGCGGACATTACGGCAGCCACCGCCGCGCTGCGAGGCATGCAGGACTTCCCCTTCTTTGACAAGCCGCTGGTGCGGCACGCCGCTGCCTGCTTGGCTCGTTGTTGCGCCTGCTGCATGCTTGCTGTGTGGTTTGGTGGCTGCTGGTAATCGCGCAGCGAGTTGGGCGGCAGATGCAGGAGCACAGGCCGCCCTGGCAGCACTAGCGGTTCAACCAACTTAACATTGATGTCCCCCGGCCCTCTGCAGCGCGTGAGCTTTGCCAAGTCCGCATCACACGCAGTGGCGCCGAAGAAGGGCGGCAAGGGCGCAAAGGGCAAGCCCCCCAAAGCGCCCGCGGCGGTAGCAGCAGGCGGCGACGCAGCGGCGAAAGCCAAGCAGCCAGCGGATGCAGCGGCAGCAGGAGGCAGGCAAAAAGCGGCGGCGGTGGATGTGGGGGAACCAAACGCCAAGCTATTTGTGGAGAACCTGCCAGCGGCAACCACGGCGGCGATGCTGGAAATGCTGTTTCAGCAGTTCCCAGGTGAGGCAGGGTGGATGTCGCCGGTCTGGGGGCCACAGCTATTCGACAGGCTGACTCCGTCGTTCTCCCACCCTGGCATGGGGCATGCACAGAGGGCAGCAGCTGCCCCATCAAGTCGTGGCATGCTCTGAAGCGAATCGTTGCTGCATAGCTGACAACTTGTACCCAGCCTTCCACTCCAGCACCTCACCCCTTGTCCCCTCCCTGTCCTATCCCCCCTTTGTGCAGGCTGCAAGGAGGTCACAACTGTGCCCGCCAAGCCCGGCATCGCCTTTATTGAGTTTGAGACGGAGATGCAGGCGACGGTGGCCATGACGGGGCTGCAAGGCTTCAAGGTCACGCCGCAGAACAGCATGACCATAACTTACAGCAAGTGAATGGCCAGTCGGCCGTACTGGAGATGGCCACACCTGCAGCAGGTCAGCGTTCAACCCCGCTATAGCACATGGGGCTGGCCGCACGGGAGATGGCCGCGCACAAGTTGCTGCCTTGTATGATGCCCTCTGTCTTGTACTTCTAATTCTGTCCAATTTACTGCGCCCCATGGGCATGTGATCAGGCCGCTGGTCAGTGATTGAAGGTACTGAGGGGCGGTCGCTGCAGCGTGGCGGCGCCTGTGATTACGGAGTCCCCATCCGGCCGCTGCGTGCTGCCGTGCCCTGCCGGCAAGTCATGTGTGCATTCTTCGGCTGATTTTGACGCTGTCGATGCACGAACACAGCGGGAAACCGCCTGTACTTGACGCAAAAGCCAGAGGCAAAGCGTCCAGGACAGAGGGGAGAGGATAGGACGCCCGATTCCCGCCTTTTCTTTTGCATAACACTCTTTGGGAGATAGCTCGTCGCAACGGGAAAACGCTTGCACAGGTCTCACCCCACTTGTGAGGCACTCCCCCCTGCTTCCGTAACACGCAATGCTGGCCTCCAAAACCGCACTGCTGCTGTGCGCAGCCTGCATGCTGGTCACTGTGGCGAGGTGAGGCCTAGGCCAGGGCCACACGCATGACGGGGTGATCATCAATGCGGGGCAGGCTTCTTGGCATGCAGCTGTTCGTCACTTGTTTAGCGCAGCATGGCGGTTTGAGAGCCGATATAGGGCCGAGGGCCTAGCCTAATAAACGAGCGGCTAGTACGGGACTGTTGGCAGCGGCGGTCCCATCTGGGCTTTCCAGCGGCGCTGACTAGCGCCGCCGCTGCCTGGCGCTGCTGGGGCTTTTCGATTCATGCACAATTCAACCATCTTTCGCGTGTATCGTATGATGTTCATCAGTAGGATCGTGTGTCTTCGTGAGCGCCCCAGCTCGCTGCCTCTGGGGGCCGCCCATGCGAGCATGGATGTCAGTGACCGCCGCCGCTGCCGCTGGCAGGCCGCCAAGGCAGGCTGCACAGCGTGGTCTGCTCACTTTGATCTTTTGTCTCACTAAAACGGTCTAAGAGGGCAGAGGGCGGGAGGCAGCAGCAACCTGCCGTAAGTACATGCGGGACGGCTGCGTGCCCAAATGGGTTTCGAAACTCTGGCAGGTGCCGACAAACCCCACAATTTCGCTTCTCTGTAGTCTCTAAACAGGATAGAATAGTTAGAACGCTGTCGGAGCACCTGCAGGAAGCCAGAGCAAGAGGTCATGGCCAAGGTCCGCGCAGGTGTGGTGGCAGCCCGCCTTCAGGCTAGGAGAACTTCCCACCGCAACCGGCGGTTGTCACGCAAGCCGGCAGGCTGTGCATGCGGGGCCGGAGGGTGCTCTGCGGAGTCTCGTGCAATCATGCCTTCCTGTCCCCCACCTGTAGGCCTCCATCATTGCTGGAATGGCCCCAGACACTCCTCCCGAGGGGATGATGCCCGTGCAATCGCCGCCGCAACTGGGCCTCTGGCACCGGTGAGGGCTGCGGCGGCACCCGCTGCCCGCTTTTGCAGCCGCCCTGCCGCCCTCGTGCAAATGGCAGCCCTGCGTGCTCACCCTTGCCTACACACTCCACTCGTCCATTGCTTCGAGCAGGATACTGAGTTCAGGTCATCCCATCAGGGCTGAAGGACGACGGTGTCCATGACGGCGGCGAGTTCCCATCTCCTCCTTGCCCACCGCCTGCGTGCTCTGGCCATGCCCACCACCTCCCTCCACCGTGCCCCTGTCAGCGAGCCATGCCACTGACCCACGGGCGCCCTACTCTTCTCGCCATCCCCTTCCCGCCCCCCGCCGGTCTGCCTTCATCCCTCGCTGCGCCCATGGGCCACCCTGCCCCGCCCTGCCCTGATGCCGTTTTGCCAGCTGCCAATGCGCCTGCGCCCCACAGCCATCAACCCTACTGCCCCTACTGCTGCTGTAGACCAGCCCAAGCTGCAAGCGCAAGGATAACAGCTGGCTGAGCGCCCCAACTGCGCATGGTCGCGCTGTGAACAAGGTGAAGCACCATTTCTGGGCCGACATCAAGCACTCGAGGCTGTTGCCGCCCAATGCTGCCTTTGCGCAGCTGGCTGTGAGGCGGGCTGGGGCGTGACTGCTTGCGGTCAGGGGTAGCAAGCTGGCTCTGACTCTTGACTCTGTTAATTCCTCAGAGCCGCCCACCTTCAGTAGCCTGATGCACTGGCTGACACACACTTCTGTGTGTGCCTGCAGCTGGAGCACGGCCAGCAGCATGGCCTGAAGAAGGCACTACCGCATGATGATCAGTTCTTCCGTCCCTTATACCAAGCGTGTGAAGAAACTGTGGGCCACTACAGCAATGTGAGGGTCAGCCAGTTTGCTGATGCTGCGGTTAGCCTTCTCCATGCATGAGTGGCAGCTTCGCACATGCGCCCCACCCACTTTGACCTTTGCTCCACACCCCCAACCACGACCTGATGTGCCATCCCCTGTGCTTGATTATCTTTCATCAGCAGCTCCCCTGCGGGTACGCAGGGGTACTGCTGGTACCATGTAATGCAACACACGTGCGCAGCGAGCGCCGCACTGCGGCGGCGCTGGCCAGCGCCCAGCAGCACCAGCGCCGGGCAGCGTTCTGCCAGCGCTAGTGCTAATCAACCTCGCTGATCAGCGCTGGTGCTTTTTAGCGCTAATCAGCGCTGCTGGAAAGCCCAGATGCCCGAGCTCGCCGCTCGAGCGGTGCCACCGCTGGCCAGCGCTTGCAGCAGCTTGCCTGCTTCGGCCCCTCACATGCTTGTTACATCATCACCTGCAAAGCTGATCGGCAGCCGGCCATGCCAGTCAGCAGACCACAGGGCCACTACTGAGCTGCGCAGTTCAGTTGCATGCACGACCCACCGTGGACCTGACCACACCGACAGGGCGTGCTGCCCTTCCCCTCTTGCGATGCTGCTTCTTGCAGGGGATGCCCGTGATTGGCCAACCTGGGGCTGGGACCGTGCCCGACTGCAAGGCCTGCCCCGTCGGCACCGTGTTGGTGTGTGGCAGAGATGGTTTGCTTTACAAGAACCGGTGCCAGGCCACGGTGAGTCGTGCATGGGGCGGCAGTCGCAAAGCATGAGCTGCCAGGCACGGTCTTATGTGCTGGTTGTGCCGATTCCTTCTCCTACCTGGCTGGCCCCTGTCATGCATGCCTTATTGTTGCTGCAGTGCCAGGACGCCGTGGTCCGCTTCGCGTGCGGCAAGCGTGGCGTGTCGAAGTGCAGGGCCTTGTGCCACGCTCAGCAGAAGGCCGACGAGGCGTTGTGCGCAAAGTCCTGCCCCAAGACGCCCAGCCAGGGCCGCTGCGCCAGGAACGGCAAGGTTTACCCCGACAGCTGCACCATGAAGTGTGCCAACCAGGTCTGACCTTACCCAACACGCTGTTTAGCTGACCCTGGGCCATTTGGTGGAGATGGATGTCCAGGCCGCGTGCTGCCCTGCTAGCCTGCCTGCAAAGCTTCTCAACTGTCCCTTTGCCACGCCCCTGCTGCGGTACCGGTGCAATGCAGAAGCTGCGCTTTGTGTGCACCAAGCAGATGACAAAGGCAGTCTGCCAGAAGAAGTGCTTCAAGAAGCACGAAATGGAGGTGGGTGTATTCGCAGCTCCCTCCCAGCAGCTGGCACAGCTCCCTCTGGCTGCTGGGTGGCTGAGCCGCATGTTGCCTCCCCAGCTTATCCAGTTGGTTTGCCCTGCAAGTCAACTGCACCACTAATTTCTCGACGGACTTGCTCACCCCATGGTACTGGCACGCTGGTCACAGGATGTCCCCATCCGCGGTTAAGGTCGAGACAAGGCGCACGCACACTCCCGATGCTTCCCCTGCCGGGGAACGACTGCAATCGTGCACCCAGCTCAAAGCGCACATCACCAATTTGCAAATCCCTTCGGCATGCGCGTGCCCCGCGCGCAGGCGCCCCCCCCCCCTTGTGATGCCCAATCCACCTGGTACTATTCTAGGCTTGAGCTGAGCAATATGCCCAGCCCTGTTGTTGTAATGCCCAATGATTAGATCAGCAAGGCCGCGACTTCGCCCGAGGAACGCTGCCCAGATGTGGCGGCCTTGGAGCAAGGCGGTGACGCCGGCTGGAGGGAAAGCAACATGGACGGGCGAGTCACCTGCGCATTTCTTCGCCTGCTATTCCTCCTGGCCCTTTGCAGGGGAGGGCGCAGTGTTTGCCCTGCTGTGCAGCCACTGTGTGCCCGATGCTCCCCACTTACGGTCTCACCAGCGGCGCAACAGACGCTGACAACGCTCGGCATGGCCCCTTGATGACCGTGAGGAAGGCTCAAGCCGGCAGTGGCCCTCCAGCGACAGGACTCATCTTCTTGACGGCGGCGTGCTGTGTCATGCTAGTTTTCCAGGCACGCTGCAGTGCAATCGGGCGTAGGGTGCCGAGCTGCACTGGTCGCTTGTTGCCCAGAGGTGGCCGGTGTGTGCCACCGCCTTTGCCGCCAACCCGCCGCCCTGCGGCACCCACCAACACCCTCGCCACTTCGCTTGCCCTGCAGCTGTGGTTTAGCAACACTGGGGCTCGGCAGGGCGGCCAGTACGACGCAGACGGCATGTCCAGCGGGCAGCGCCGTGCACTGGCTGCGGCACGGCGGGCGGGCTCTGGCACCGCGCTTCACCGAAAGGGGCAGGAGAGGAGCTTCCCTGTGTCGCACCTGCGCAACTTGGTGCTGGTGGCCTGCCACTCGGTCTACACCGGCCTCGACTTCCATGAGTCAGAGGAGAAGTCCAGCTGGTTTCTTTTGGATTACCAGAAGGTGGGGTCTTTGTTGTGAGCCTTGACAGAGCGCGAAAGGGCTCCTCCACACAAGTGCCAGCAGCAGCAGCCGCTGTCTGCGGCTCTGTTTACAGCTGGGCTACCTCAAATTGCTCCAAAACATTGTGTACAGGAGGTGCCGGGCCAGACCCACAGCTTTGTCGAGCACATACAGCTGGGCGTGAAGGAGGCGGCAGCAGACAAAGATGCCCTCCTGTTGTTCAGCGGCGGCAAGACACGCCGGTGAGGGCACCGCCTGGCTGTTCCACTTGCTGTTTGTTTGATGTCGGTTGCAGTGCGTGCTGCAGTGCTGGAGCAGGCTGTCCAGCCCACATGGCGGGTGCCAGCACACATCCCGGCACGCGGTGGGCCTCACGCCTGCTGCCATGGTTCTGCAGGGATGCTGGGCCACGAGCTGAGGGCGAAGGCTATTGGCTGGTGGCCGAGGCAGCCAAGTGGTATGGAAACGAGGAGGTCCGGGACAGGGCGTTCACAGAGGCGAGCTGCTGGATGGCTGCCTGGCAGATGTGTGGATGGTGGATGGTGTCCCCCCACGCCTTTGCACAAAGCCACCTCCAGCCCCGTGCTGCGCTCTGCCTCTTGCGGGTGCGCCGCAGGACCGCGCTCGTGACTCATTTGAGAGCCTCTTGTTTGGTCTGTGTCGCTTTTATGCAGGACCGCGCACGTGACTCGCTTGAGAACCTCTTGTTTGGTCTGTGTCGTTTTTATGAGCTCGTGGGACGCTACCCAGAATTTGTTGTTGTGGTGGGTTACGACTTCAAGAAGCACCGCTTCTCCACCCTGCACCGCACTGCGCTGAGGCTCCCCGAGGAGGGCTTCCGCTACGAGGGCACCCCCGCCCTCAACTCTGGGGCGCTCAAGGTGCGCGCAGGCTCCTGGGGCAGCCGGGGCGGCAACGCCAGGATGGCAATGCTGCCAGTGCTGACCTGTGTCGGGCATGCTGAGTCCACCCCACCCGTCGGTTTGTGTGCACCTGCCACCCCCGTCTGCTGCAGGGTGAGGAGGCAACTGTGGCGGCATTTGAGGCGGACCCATATGGCTGCAGCCAGGAGCTGGTGGCGAAGCGGCAGCAGCGCGACCCCTTTGGCGTGGGCGGTTACACCGGCGACAGGTGCGCTCCAGTGGGTGCAGTTTGGCACAGTACACTGTCTCAGTCAGCAGGGTACTCCCTCCATCTCGGGCGTTATTGATTGGAGCGCCTGTGCCACCTGCCTGCCTGCCGCAGGTGTCCTGACATGGCGGAGCTGTTGCAGCACTGCGGCCCCCAAACATATGATGGGCCCCTGCCGTGGGATGGCACCGCATAACCGACTTGCTGGTTGCCTTGCCCCTCTTCTTGCTTGAGGCTCCCGCTCCGCTGCTCCCTACTGTGTATCAACACTCTGTACTGCGTCTTCTCCTCTGACGCTTGCCAACTTCAGACTCAAACCTACTTATTTCTGATTTACAGGACTGCTTCCAACCACCTCTGTATGTTGAACATTGGCATCATTGTGGGGAGTAACTTCCCCGGCGACTCTGAAAGCTTGATGGCAGGCAGGCGGCACAATGCCATGGCAAGTGCCGTACACAGTGGGCTTGAACAACCAGGCGCAACCTCCCGCCTCTCGATCACCGCTCCAAACGACGGTCAGCGACTCCAACATGCATCCGTTGGCCCTCGGGTTTTGCCGCCACTGGAGGTCCGCCCTCTACTGTACCGTAGCGTCCTGCACTTGCTCGAACTTGATGCCGCGGGACCTTAGGCGGTCGATGTATGTGGTGTCACGCAGCAGCGAGGCGGGGGTGTGCACCCCGGGCAGCCCCAGGCTCTGCCGCTCCTCCAGCAGGGTGATGGCAGCCTGCAGGCAGCGGCCAGGGGATGAGCTGAGAGGGGAGCTGAGCAGGCGCCAGCCGGCGAGCGGGGGGAGGGTGCCTGCGTTCCCTGGTGCTGGGCGGACTACCCAAAGGGACGTGCCTGGACTACAAAGATGGCGCAGCTGATGTAGCCCGGCTCAGGGCCGCTCACACGTGTGACGATCTCTATGTCGGGCGCCTGATCCGGCGCCTCGGGAGCACCTGCTTGTGGCAGCAGCGGCAGGGAGTGCGGTGGGCTGAAGGGGGGTGGAGCGAAGTGCGAGGCAGCGTGCTCGCTGCTTGCTTCCACTGCCTGTCCTTTCCAGCCCCCAAGGCGCACCTTTGCTGTAGCCCTTGGCGATGTTTGTGAATTGGAAGCTGGCCTCGCTGAGCTGCCGCTCGCTGGGCCCTTCGTGCGAAAACATGCCATACGTGAACAGGCGTGGGTACTGGAGCAGCAGGCTGCGGCCCCACGGCTTGCCGGCCAGGAACTGGAACATCGACCCAAAGCCCTGCCACCTGCGCCAAGCAGCGCCTGCCGGCCAGTCAGCAACCAGCAAGCACGGCAGTAAGATCGGGGGAAGCCCCAGCAGCCCAGCGCAATGCCCATCATCGTTGCAGGCAGCGCGTGGTTGCATGGCATGGCAAGCGCAGCGCTCACAGCGTGAGGTAATATCGCGAGGGCAGCGTGAAGACGACGCTGACGTTGGCCGCCGGCTGCCCCGCCTCAACAAGGCGCTGCATGCTGCGCCGCACAACAGAGGCATCCGCCCCTGCACAGCACGGTCCAGAAAAGCCGGTCCTAAAACGGTTGGCTGAAGGCAAGGAACCTGCCAGGCCAGGCCAGCATCGAAACAAATGGCTTCTAGCATCTGGCGCACGCAGCAGCATGGCGCTTGCCCATGAACGGGAAGGTCCAAGATTGCAGGCGTGGGTCAAAAGCGGCTCCTGTCTGTCGAGGCGGCTTGGGGCCCGGCACCTTGAGATCGATCCGCCCTCGCTTCTGCACCAGTGGCCGGGGGCGCTGCGGTTTGGCTGTGGCAGGCGGGGAGCGAGCTGGCATGTGGGTGCAGGCCAGGGACTGCAGCAGGCTTGCGTGCAGGCAGCAGCGGGTGGAGCAACGGAGATGGTCCAGCAGGCAGCCACGGCACAGGCAGCCACGGCGGCGCTGACTTGCCTGCTCCGCCTCCTTCCTGAGCTTGCGCAGCTCCCCGGCAGATGCAAAGCCATGGACAGCTGATTCGTACGTGGGGTAGTGGCCTTTGAAGCCGCTAGGCCCACCCCTGATCGTCAAAGCGGTCTCCACCACTGTGCATCGAGCAGGGGGCTTGAACAGGCTCATCGTGTACTGCACATATGCACAGGCGCACCCCACAGGAGATGAGCAGACCAGGGCGGCCTGGCTCACACACACCCACCGCAGCAGGCCGGCAGCTCGCACCGCGACTCCCAGGTCGCCCGGCACCGAGTCGAAGCCGACGGCAGAGGCAAGGTAGCAGCCCGCCTGCTTCGCTGTCTCGTTGTAAAGCAGCTCCACTCTCTCGATGAACTCTGGTTTGTGGAATGGGGAGGGGGAGGAGGCAAAGTAAGCAGGCGTGCAGGAGGCGCGAGGCATGGGGCTGCCTCCTGGTGCAACGACGACGCTCGAGCGCTGCATGGAGCTGCCAGCCCACCTGGCTCGCCACACACATCCAGGTAGTCTGTGCCAGCCTCCACACACGCCTTGACAACCGGCTCGCCCCAGTGGCGGAACGGGCCTACTGTGGTAATGAGCACGCGGCAAGACCTGCGGGAAGGGAGGGGGGCCGTGGGCGCGAGTGGGTTGCGAGAAAGCCATGCCCTGAAGAGCATAACAAGCAAGTCAAAACAAGAGCTGTTTGTGCTCCATGCCGCACTCACTTGGCCATCTCCAGCAGGGAGGCGGGGTCGGCCACGTCAGCGACAACGATGGAAGGCTCGTTGCCGTCGTTGCCAGCCAGCGACGCTGCCAGGCGCTCCAGCTTGACGCGATCGCGTCCTGCCACCGCCCATTTCCTGCTCGCACGGGAGTTCGATCGGCAGAATCGATCAGCCCCCCAAAAGACGCGCTCCCACTAACCGCCCCCACCAGCGCCGCCGGCGCGCCCGCTAACCGCACCCGCTGAACCCGCTGTTGAGGACCTCCTTGCAGATCCGGTTCCCAGTGAATCCAGTCGCTCCGAGGACTACAAGGTCGTGGGGCCTGCTGGCGGCCATCTCGCCCCCGCAACCTCTGGTTCTCTAAAACGCAAGTGCAAATGCTTTCGAAGTCCACGGGCGTGCCTATTCAAGAAGAAGATGGACGTGGTAAATGCCCATGGGTTGCGCCTTGTGTATGTCATCCTCAGGTGGCGGCTGACATGGCGGCGGCTTTCAGCATCCACCACTCCTCGTCTCAAAATGCAGTCGATTTACATCAGACATGCAGCTGCACCTGTTTGTTTTGCAAGTAAGCACCGCCACCAGTGGTGACAGCATAAATCCCGGCTGTTGCCGGCTGTTGCCATCCGGTTAGCGTGCGATGCAAAGCACTTGGCCCTTGGAAAATTGCCATGTTGCAGTCCTGAGTGGCCTGAGGCATAGAAAATGTTTTCAGCCGAGTCGCGGCGCGGGTCACAGGGCGGCCAGCTTCAGATGGGACTGCTGATGGGCTCCCGCGTCCACTCCGCGGTCACGGAGTCTAGCACCAGCTGCCAGGTGGGCCAGTATCTGTGGTCTGTCTTGAGAGTCAGCACCTGCGAGGCCTCCACGACCAGGATGTTAGATCGGGACAACATATCCAGCGGCATGTCCATCCAGCACAAAGACGAGGGGGCGCAACCAGGGCAGGCGCTGTGACACCCCACCTTGCTCTTGTTGCTCTCAAAGTGCACCAGGCGCACGCGCACGTCGGCGCCATCGGGCAGCTGGCGCACCACCGAGATGAAGGCGTCCAGGTCCGGGGTGGGCTGCCCGTTCACCTCTGCACCGCCGGTAGTTTATGTGTTGGGCGTGGATGGGATGGGGGTGTGTGCGTAGGGTGGGGGGCTCGGGGGTGCATGAGCAGTACGGGCAACGGTGGCAGACAATGCAAGTGAGGCACGACAGCAGCAATGCAAAGCAATGCAGCGAGCAAGCCACCCACCCGACACGCAGTGCAGGGCGTACAGGCCGTAGCGGTGGGCGGGGCTGCCGTGGTGCCAGCGGCTGATGTACACGCCGTGCCTCTCGGGCAGGAAGCCTAGCTCGCGCACGCCGCGGTGAGGGTACTGCACAGGTGCCAGGGGGGGTGGGTTGAGGAGCGGGGTTGAGGAGCGGGGGCAGGCCCAGAGCGAGTGCTGAGACCTGGGGTGGGCAGCAGAGGTTCACAACGAAGTCCAGGACACATGGAAGATTGGGGGGGCGTGCTCACCTGCAGCTGTGCGCCGCACCAGTGCACCATCCGATTGGTGCCCAGCCCGTCCTCGCCGCCCAGCCTGCAGGCAGGGTTGTGACCATGGGGAGTGCTCCTGGCCTGAGAATGGGTCACACACACAACAGGCACTATGGCAACCACCAAATGCATGTCCGGGGGGATGCACAGCTGGAGGGCGGCAAAAGCAAGCCACACACCTGACTGTCACCTCCTGCACCGCAGAGTCTCGGAATATTGTCAGCTGCACCTCTGGCAGCTGCTGCGCTGCCGCCTCAGCTCCTGTGCCCTCCCCAGACACCCTGGCTCGCTTGGCGGGCGGCTGCTCCAGCTGCTGGGCCACACCTGCCGCCTCCGCCCCTGCCGCCTGTACCGCGGCAACATCTGCACTCCCTGCTGCCGGCCCTGCAACAGCGGCTGCTGCTGCTGCCTCGGCAATGATGCGCTCCACATCGTTATAGGAGCTGACAGGCTGGCCGCTGATGGCCAGCACCATGTCAGCGTCACACAGCACCTGCAACGGGGCAACACAGGCGCAGGGGATGAGGATGAGGATCGTCAAGTTCGAGTCCAGCATGGAGCAGGAGAGGCATGCCAGGCCATCCATCTGGAGCAGCAGCAGTTGAGCACGTACCTCCTGCGCATGGCTGCCTGCCACACGGGAGTGGACGCGCAGCACCTGGCGGCGCTCTGGGTCAAGGCGCACCAGGCGGCTCACCCACTCAGTGGGCAGACCAAACTGCAATGGCAGGGGGTCCGGACCCAAAATTGGCGATGGCGGCAGCACACGAATGATGCAAAACCTGGGCGCCATGTCAGGGATGAACACTGATACTCGCAACCAAACCACACACAGAAGCGCACCTGAGCAGCCTTGGACAGCAGCAATGGCTCCAGTTCCGCATCCAGCGTCACCACCGGTGGCGGTGGCAGAGGCACGGTCGCCTCCAAACCCCCACCGCCGCTTGCGTCGCTGCCGCTGCCGTCTGCTTCCTGCTGCTGCTGCTGCTGCTGCTGCTGCTGCTGCTTGTGCTCTTCAATGAGCCTACTCACCCAGGGTGCGAAGATGGCAGCAGGCAAGCCTGCACGAGGAGCGGCCAAGAGGCGCAATGCATGAGTTGAGCAGGGTGGCAGAACCCAGCCTGGCTGGCTCGCATGCACATGTTGACCCACCTGCCGTCCACTCCTGCTCCTCCTTATTCAGCTGCTCGGAGTAGGAGCCCCACAGAGCACGCACGCCGCCTGAGCGATCGCACAGCACGCCTGCACATGTGGCATGGCAGCGGGTGAAGGCAGTTGGGGCCCAGAACATGGATAAGCAGACCATCAGAAATGCCTCGACGGGACCCTGAGACATCCTGTTTGCAACGCCCAACCACCAACTGTCTTCCTCCGCCAGACTGCCAGCCAGCTCCATCACCCACCCGAGTACGCGATACCAAAGTCCTGATCTAACTTCACCACTTCCTCGTGCACCGCCCTGCACAAGCCACATGTGACCAGCTGAGGCAGGCCGACACAACAGAAAGCTGTGTTTTTGCTGTGTGAGCGCACACTTTGGGATTGCGAATTGCTGGGAACCCATGTACACAAGCATGCCCTTCCCCGGCACCCTGGGCACCCTCCCCACCTGAAGCGCGGCACCTCCGCCTTGTGTATCAGGACTGACATGGCGGGGTTGGTCACGCTGCTGGTGCGGTGCAGGATGCGCAGGCTCCTGCAGAGGGCAGGGATAAGGAGGGCCGAAGGGCACAGGGCTGAGCCAGTGAGCAGCTGGCACCAAGACCTGCCAGAGAGTGATGATGCTTGGGAGGCAGCGGGCAGTGGCGGCTCACTTAGACAGGCAGACCAGCTCCACGGCATCGCAGCGGCGTAGCGGCGGGGAGGGCGCCAGGTGCAGCGGGCGAATCAGGCGGCGGGCCTGTGGGCACATGGGTGCAGAGGAACTCAGGTAGCGACGGGCGGGCGCAGAAACAGCAGCACAAAACACAAGAGCTGCGACCGGCGACAGACACCACGGCGCCACCCGCCCCAAGCCAGCCAACCCACCTCCTCTGACAACTGGCGCGGGTCGTAGGAGCAGATGCTGAAGTTGTGCAGGGGGTGCAGGAAGCGCACGCGGGCGGGCACCTCGGCGGGGAAGGCGCCAAAGCTAAGCATCACGTCGCCGGGGCCCACCGTAACTGCGAGGGCGCGAGAGAGCAGCGCCAATGATGATTTAAGTGACGCAGAAACAGTGTTCTGGTAGACCACAGTGCGCAGCTGTGAGCTTGGCAGCACAACGGCAGGTTGCCGCAACGGCCAGGCCCCACCCACCTGTGTTGCGGTCCACAAGCACGAGCCCCAGCGACTCAGACTGGTGCACAATCACGCCGCACCCTGCAAGCGCACCAGCGGAGAGCCGAGCGCGTAACTCCCTGGTCATCAGCCGGCAACCAGGGGGCATCCCAACCACCAACCAGCGGGCGCCGGTTCAGCCTCCCACCCGAAAAGGAGCGGGAGTGCACGCCATCTGCCAGGGCCACCAGCGGGATCTCCACATCGACTAGCACCAGGCCACACCTGCAGACAACCAACAAGCAAAAGGTTGTAAGAAAAACAGATGGGGGAGGAAAGGAGGGCGGGGCAGCGGGAGGGAAGCAGGCAGACCCAGCATTCTGGATTGTGCAAGCCGCCGGTGCTGCTAGACATCCAGTTGACCACAGCTAAGCAGCTTGGCTGGCTTCAGCTCCGCGCACCGCAGTTGCTCCTCCAACATCGAACGCCACATGTTGGCGGCCTCAGCTTGGTCTGCAGGCGCCTCGCCAGCCGCCGCGCCCATGCCCGCTGCCATTGCTGCCTCCGCAGCAGGGCTGCCCAGCAGCCGTGAGTCGTCTGCCTGCGCCGTCACGCCCGGCTGCTGCTTCTCGATGTCCTCGTGCTGGGGGATGGATGGCACGGATCGCTTGCGCGGGATGCTGGCCCCTGCTGCGCCTGCCTTGGCAGGGCTGGCTGCCGCGGGCCCTGCTGTGGTGCCGCTGGCAGCCCCAGGGTGCAGCGGTGGACGCTTGGATGCTGATCCGCCTGCTGCTGGTGGCGTGCCATTGGCGGCGGCGACATCACATGCCTCTCCTGCTTCCCCTGCCTTTGGCCCAGCCGCAGCTAGGCTATGCGGCATCTCCACCAGGCAGTCCCAGATGCCGGCCGCGTTGTTGCGAGTCCACACCTTGGGTGGGCCATACCTGCACAACATGGATGCGTGTTGGCTGGCACCTGACCTTCGAGGCTGGCATGCGGCAACACACCGCCCTGCCAGCTCAGCACCCACCAGCTCCAGTTGACGTGCAGGATGGTGCTCTTGCGGCGGTGCCGCTCCCCAAAGGTGAAGAACTCGAGCGGCACGCGCTGGCCATGGCGCAGGCCCTGCCAGTGGTGGCAGCATGGGGGACAGGCAACACATGGCCAGGCGTCTGGGATGCGCAGCATGGGCGGCAGCCTGTCATCCCACCCAGCAAGCCACTTGACCTATCACGTGACCACCCCGGCTGTCCCTCACTTTAAGTGCCTCGACAAAGGCATCTAGGTCTGGGGTGGGGGTTCCAGCCAGCGAGGTGATGATGGCATATTTGGGCACCCCCGCCTTGCCCAGCAGGTAGCCTGCACAGCATGGTGCGACACGGCATGGCACGTTTTAGTGCAGCAGGGAAAGGAGCGGGCACCATGGGACAGAGCGGTGGGACACAGATTGGGGCCAGACATGCAGGGCCCTGCGGGTGCAAAATCTGCATGCATGAAAGCAGTGCGCGTCAACAAGCTGGCATTCCGATCAAAACCTGTGCCAGCTTGTGGCGCCCGCCCACCTGACTCAGCGACATAGACCTGGCCCACAGCCGCGCGGTTGTTGCGCGCCTGCTGGTAGCTGAGCTCGTTCACCGCGCCTCCGCCCAAGTCAAGCAGGCGGCAGGGAGTAACTGCACAGGGTCGGGGAGGCAGACGGTCCTCAGGGGTTGAGCAAGGCTAGAGTGCAGCCGGCAGTGGTGCACAGGCTGTGACGTGTGATGCAGAGGACCACAGCATCCACAAGAGGGCCACCCATGCAAGCGGATCGGAACCTGTCTGGAGGTCCTGGACGCGGACGTCGGCTGCCAGCGGCTTGCCCCCCCGCTCCACCTCCACGTGCACGCTGCCGCCAACTGTACCGCAGGGCGGTGCACACGGGCAGCGCGCCAATCGGGCATGGTGTGGGGACGCTGATGGCACGGCGCACCGCTTGCTGGCTGGCATTACACCCACAAGTAGACCTGCTCACCATTGTCGTCCAGCAGCGCCTCCATTGTGAGGAAGTCGGTGACGATTTGGCCGTTCAGGCGCACCTGCATGCAGCACAGCCCAGGCGGGCAGGCATTGGTTGAGCATTCAGCCCGAGCACCTACGTAGATCACAGTCGACCGAGCAGGAGCGCGACTCGCAAGCCAAAAGCTGCAGCCAGTCACCAGCACATCTCCCGCCTCCAGCACGGCCTCGGCGGGGCCGGCCGGCACCACGCTCTCTACCACCAGCATGCCCGTGCTGCCAGGGCGCTCGCCCAGCAGAGCTGCACGCCCAGACGGGAGAACAATGAAGAAGCAAAAGAGAAACGATTTGTCAACAAGTGCAGGCGGCAGCATAGCGGCTCATATGCATGGCAGCATGCATCGCAGCAGCCCTCTCACCACCATCACCCTCGTGCTGCTGCTTGGACGCTCGCACTGCCGCCTCCGTCTCCGTACGCAGGCCCAGCCGCCGCACCTGCACAGCGCCACAGCACAAAACCCCACGATTTTTAGCACGCCATGTGTAGTAGCCCTCAGAGAGGGAGAGGGCCGGGTGCAGTAAGAACTGACCTCATCGTAACCTTTGAAAACAAGCGTCGCTTGCAGGTCGCCGCGTGGGATGGCTGGCTGGGCCCAGGAGCCGTCGGGCTGGTGGCACGCCTGCATCCATGGCGCAATGGAAGGCATCACGTCACGTTGCCCAGGCTGTGCAGTGGAGAGCTGCCCATGCACTGCGCTGTCCCCAAGGTGCACCCACAGCAGCAGGCGCCTGGCCGCGCTGCCCTCTGGCGGCGCTTACCTGCAGCAGGTGCAGCGCACGCACGATGCGGTGCAGCGGCAGGTAGTATGCCGACGCCGCCTTGTTCTTGCCGCCCGCATTCAGCCCCACCGCCTGCAGAGTGGGGCAGGTGGGCTGCTGCCTGGGTGCCTGGGTGCTGGCTGGCGGGTTGGCTGTGCAGGCCTGCTCCTTGCCCGCCACCTGCTCGCACCTGCCCCTTGATGTTGACCACCGGTGACCCACTGCTGCCGCCCTTGGTGCCTGCAGGGGGACGGACGGGCTGGCGTGAGCCGGGGTGCTGGTCAGGCACATGGGCTTGCCAGACCTTGGTGCGGCATCCGCGGCGCAGACGACCAGCCGCTGCCTCGGCATTCTCGCACGCGGCCTGGTGCAGTACCCCACCCGAGGCAGCCTGAATATAGAATTGATTGAAGTCGTTGAAGCCCCGTCTGCTATAGTGCGGAGCATCCCGATCCAGGCGCGCCAGTGTGCCACTCAATATGGACAGCTGCAGACAGTGAAGGAGGACAGCTTTGGAGGGGTGAAGTGAAGCGTTGGCAGCGGCCCAAAAAACTGTCCATGTCTCTGGATGGAAATCCCACCTTCTCCCCCGAGTCGTTGCCGACCACCCTAATGTCGAGGCCCACAGCCGCCGCATCCGGCGCCAGCGGTATCTCGCCGGCCTTCATGAACTGCAGCCGCCCCGGATCAAAGCGCATGAACCCAAAGTCGTGCACTGCAGGGCACGGGTGGTTTAGGGGAGGGGAAAAGGGCGCTATGGGCACGGATGGGCAGAGACATATGTCGGCGCACCCAATAGTCGAGGACAGTAATGGCATGTGCCGCCAAAGGCCAAAGTCATTCCCACCAACGGGCCCACGCACCCGGGTCGTAGTACAGAGGCTGCACGGGCACTTCTTCTCGGTTCAGGAAGATGGCTTCCGCCACCACGGGTCCTGTATACAGTGGGCGGGCAGGGCGATGCTGATGTGTCAGGCTGCATTGCAGTGTTGTTCAGGCACTGTGAGCAGTGTAAGAGTTACAAAAGCCTGTTCCCAAAGTAAAAAAAGAAAGGGATCCCGACCTGGTGTGACAACGTGGCGGTTGGTCAGGATCAGTCCTCGTGCCTTGTCCACCACAAAGCCCGTCGCATAGCTTGAGCCGGCCGACTCGGTGTCAAAAGCGCGCGTCTGTGTCACCTTGAGAACGACCACCGCCGGCACCACCGCATCCAGGGTTGTCTTCCACGCATCGCTGGCCACCTGCATGGGCATGGAGTGTAGCAGGAAGGGGGGGGGGGACGATGGGCAGGAGCAGCGGGGTGTCGCGTTGCCACCGCCGACCAGCGGGGCGCCGGGTTGCCGCCGCTGGCACCCGGCCGCCGGATCGCGTCCCGATGGCATCCAGGCGGCATCGCACCATGCCCACCTCTACAGCCGCCGCTCCCCCGTTCATCTCGGCGCTCAGCACCTCCAAACTTGCGGCCCTGTCCATCGGGGGGGCCTCCGCGTCATCCATCGCTGCAATTCAGTGTCCCAGCGTGTCTTGGACAAAGCACGACACGACATGCATAGACCTCCTTCATTTTGGCTGACACGTCTGCATAGCACATCACAGAGCCTGCTCGATCGGCAAAGCATCCCCATCGGATCAAACATTGGGAGTCTGCTGAGACGTCTCTTGCCGCCCTACCCTCTGTCCACCAAGTGGCCTCTCAGTGGGCGCGGTTGTCGAGGCTGCTGCCCCAGCGGGTGCTTGCGGTCAGCGGCGTGCGGCCAAGGGCCCAAGGGCGCTGGGTAATGCTGCGGCTGCTGCACCAGGCCAGGCTCATGTCGGCGTCGGCGGCAGCAGCGGCAGGGCAGAAGGCGGGACCGATAGCCACCAGCATTCAGCTCAAGCTGCAGGTGGGCAGCGGTGCAGTGGCAAAGGGAGATGGCGGAGAGATGTGTCACCAGCAGTCCCAGGATAACAGCCTTCGAGGGCCCACAGAATGCGGGCCTCATTCTGCTGGCTCGCCCGACTGTTTGCTGCGCTGCGCCCCTCATTCTTGCGTGCAGGAGGCATTTCAACCTGCCAGCCTCAGCGTCGAAAACGAGTCCCACAAACATGCAGGGCACTCGGGCAACCCCGGCGGCGGACCTGATGCCGAGACGCACTTCAAGTGAGCGCTGGCAGGCAGCTGTCGTGGGCCATCATCCGCCATGCCTGTTCCTGCTCATCGCGCGTCATCCAACTGTGCAACCCGACTGGTTGCCTTGCAGGGTGGAGATTGTGAGTGCTGCGTTCGAGGGCAAGAAACCCGTACAGCGGCACCGCATGGTGTACCAGCTGCTGCAGGCCGAGATTGATGCGGGCGTGCATGCGCTGGCGCTCAAGACGAAGACCCCCGCCGAGATGCGGCAGCAGTAGCTGCCCGCGCTTGAGGCTTCTTCGTAAGTCTGGTACCCAGACTTAATGTAATTGGGAGCAGAGCAAGAGGAGGCAACACTGGGAGACTGGGAGACTCTTGTGCCGTCAGCTGAGCACCGCCGCCGCCCCGCTCACCCGCTCCTGCAGCGCTCGCCTGTACCCCGCCTTGCCTGGTCTGTTTAAACAGGTGACAGCCCTTCGAGAGGGTGGTAGAAAGGCACGTCCTAGTCAGCATCGCCTAAGCTCACAGCTCCCTATTGTCTCGGCAGCTTACTGTCTAGCACTCCTGGCTTCATTCCAAGGTTCCCTGGCCTCAGGCAGGCCTGCCCTCTGCTCTCAGGTCATAAAGCCATCACTTCGCTCGGTCGACTGGCCTGCTCTCGACTGGCCTGCTCTCTCTCGACTGGCCTGCTCTCACACCCACCACCTATCTTGCTTCTGGGCGTGCTAGCCAGGCTCAGGGCGCACCGGCTTGCTGTTGAACACGCTGGGTGAGAGCAACTAACACGGCAGCCCAGGGGCCCCAGCTCCGAGCTGGGGTGTGGGCCCTGGGCTGGTGCCAGTGCCTTGGGCACCACAAGAAGCAAGCAGCAGCAGCCGTGGGTTTTCAGAGCCGTCAACCCGCCGTTGGCACGCGATGACATAAGCCTTTACACCATGTGCAGTACCAGGCATCAGTCAGCTTCTCGGCTGTTGCCCACCCCTCCCGTGCGCGCAGGTGGGGTCCCCTCTCCCCCAATGCCGCGCCGCAGGGCCCAGCGCATCACGGAGCAGGCCGAGCCCAGCACGTCGTCGGCCTGCCCCTCTAGCGATGCCGAGACGCTGGATGAGGGCCGAGGTGCCGACAGCGGCACCACCGACGGTGAGCTGCTGCCTGCAATCACTTGATAGTGGTCAGAGGGGCGGGTTGAAAGCCAACTCCCCTTTCCCTCTTTTGCTGTCCTTTTTGTTGCAGAGCCGCTCTCTCAGCCAGCCGAGCCGTCGTCACCTGCCGCGCCGCGCTGCGGTGGTGGCACGCTGCGCGGTCGGCCCCGCATGCTGTGGAGCCCAGAGCTGCACAAGGAGTTTGAGGCGGCGGTGCACAAGCTGGGTGAGGAAAGCGAAGAATGACAGCTCTGCGCTGGCTCTGCATCGTGCTGCTCTGCTGCAGCTGAGGCTTGGGTTTGTCCGTTTTGTTGCAAATATTTGATGAACCACACCGCCACCCAGCTCACCCCATGCTGTAGGCGGCCCCTTCTCGGCAACCCCCAAATGCATCCTGGAAATGATGGGGACCAAGGGGCTCAGCCTCACCAGTGAGCCCTGGGGACAGTTTGACTGCCCGGGCGGTGGGGGAATGTTGACTGGCCGTGCCGGTCGGGGACTTGCCGAGCTGACAGCGGCCTCGTGCTTTGTGCCCCCTGCCAATGGCGCCTGCGCTGCAGACGTGAAGAGCCACCTTCAGAAGTTCCGGCTCAAGGCGCACAAGCGAGCGCAGCTGCAGGCGGCCGAGGCCGAAGCCACAGCAGTGGCGGTGGCCGGCAGCCCACGCCCAACAAAAGCGGGGCGAGCCGGCGGGGGAGTTGCCAGCACTGGCAGCCTGCCGGCTGGCCTGTCAGCTGCTGTGCTGCCAAACAACATGGTGCCTATTACCACAGCAGGTGCAGGTGAGGCCTTTGACCCCGCTTGACAGCTAGGCATGCCTCGTACACCTGAACTCCGTGTCGAATTCTGCTTGAGCAGCATCCAACTGCCCCTGCTGGACCCCGCTCCCTGCAGGCGTCTGGAGCCCGCTGCCCAGCGGCAAAACAATGGAATCAGCGCTGAGCAGCCTGCCGGAGACTGCGTGCCTGATGCGTGTCGCCCCTGGCGCTGCTGCTGCTGCAGTGGCAGCAGGCCAGCAGGGGGAGGTCAGCTTTGCAGACCCTGAGCTGGCTGCCCAGGCGGCAGCGTGGCAGCGCAAGCGCCTGGGTCTGGTGGCAGCCATCCAGGGTGCGCTGCAGGCGTGCCAAAGCCCCACGGCGCATTTGTCCCAGCATCATGAGCAGGCGGTGGTTCAGTGGCAGCTTGAGAACCTGCACTGCCTGCACGTGCTCCACTCCCTGCACATGATGCAGATGCGGCAGCACCTTGCAGCGGCTGCATGCCTGAAGGAGAAGGCGCAGCAGGCCGCCGCCAATGCCCCTCTGCCTCCAGAGGCTCTGCAGCTGGTGACTTGAGCTCTTAGTTGCATGTGCCCGCCATCTCCTTTTGCCCGACTGCTTCATCGGCCCAACTACTCTCCAGTTGTTGTTGACCACGGTTGTTGTTGTTTGCTTTCCATCGCATTTGTTTTTTGTTGCACGAGGAAAACATGAAAGCACAGTGATTCGGGGCATTGCATGAGGGGACAGGGGATGTAAACGCACAGTGCACAGCTGAGCTCAGGTCATTCATTCAGGAAAAGCCTGCTCGGCAACCTGCAGTGCCAATGCCTTGAGATCGGCGCCGTTTGCGAGCCCGTTAATGAAGCGCTGTGGGATGCCGCCGAGGCCCACAATCGCGCCCACAAGGGCACCTGCAATCCAAGGGAAATGTGCACTGAAATCAAGCATGGACCGGGGCTGACAAAGCGCCAACAGCATCCCACAAGCCAGCCAGCGCCATCTGGAGACGTGCCTGTTAGTGCCGCCCTGGCCATATTGTTGCCGCCGCTGTTGATCGCCATCAGCACTGCGATCTCAAAGTGGTCTGGCCGGCCCTGGAAGTGCGCGGTGTAGTAGTAGGCGGCTGGCAGCAGGAAGTGGATGGAGCAGGCCAGGCCATACAGCAGGGCCACTTTGGTGGGTGGGATGGAGATGGTCGGGTCCCGCGCCGCCTGCATGCGCATGGAGGAGGCGGCGAGGGGTTCAAGCCGGGGCGGGGTGTCGGGTCCATCAGGGCAGGTTGTGTGGGTGCGGAGTAGCAGGCAAGGCAAAGTTGCAGGTCCAGAGGCTGGGGCACCAGACAAAGGAGATGGGGCGAACGTCTTGGGATCAGCCAGTGCCGCAGAAGCTTCAGCTCTCACCTGCACCACCCAAGACACTTGGAGGAGCGCGTCTGGGAAGGGCATGGTGGGGGTGGGGTCCGCAGGCTGGCGCGTGATGTAGTCGCGCTCCTCAACCAACACGGCATGCGTGACAGGGATCTCCTGCTGGACTGCCAGCTCCCTCATCTTCTTGCCAAAGTCGGCGTCCATGCTCTCGCCCTGCACGCTCCGGCAGGCAGCATGACTAGCAGCAAGGGCGGCTACCAGCATGGCCCGTGCAGAGCGTCCATCAGCCAGCCGATGCAGGCGGCCTGCTGGCAATGCACGGTGGTGGTCCAGCCATGCGCCACGATGACCATGCCCTTGCCTCCACACCTGGATAAGCGCCGCAACCAAAATTGCAAACGACATGGACTGCCCCGCCACAACCGGGTCCAGATGGGTCAACCGCACGTTCTGCATGGCAAGCCGCGCCGTGTCGCCCAGGCTGGCCGCATACCTGCATTGCGCAGGGGGTCAGGGGCCAGCAGAGCTAACAGCATGCCAGGCGCATATGGCTGCCGAGCGCATGTGCATCCAGCCCAGCAAGCAGCCACGGCACCCTCCCCTCGCTCACCGCGCAGCCAGCATGACGGCGCGGATGGCCCCCTCGGCGGTGTCGCTCCAGCTGCCCAGACCCTCCTCGCCCCACTGCTTGCCCTCCACCTGTGCAGGGCAGGCACTGGCACGGTGGGCGCAGAAGGGTACAGTCCCAGGACTGCACAGCAGAGCAGGACCACCCTGGCAACCAGGCCAGGCATGTGCTGCCCGTGCCTTGCGGCCGCGCCAGACGTCCCGCATCGCCACGTCTGTGTAGCGGCCAGAGTAGGCACTGCCATCCAGAGTGCCCAGCAAACCGTCGAGTCGGGCTGTAAAATCGTCCTGGTCGTGCCTGCCCACCTCCGCCAGTGAGCGCAGAAGCAGCTCACACACCTGTGGGGCACGACTGGCGGCCAGCTGGACAGGATGGCATTAAAAAAGGTTGCAGCTGGAGGCGGGCCGATGCACTCCGACATCGCTCGGCTCACCTGCCCCGTTTGACTCAGATCCCCTGCTTCCTGACCTTCATGGTATCGACCCGGTTTGGGCTTGGTGTAGCCATCGATCCAGCCGAACTCCTGGCGCAGCACGTCGACATCGTAGTACCAATGAGCCCCGACGCCCAGCGCGTCGCCGACCAGGCAGCCCATGATGGCTCCTGCCGCCCTATCCCGCCTGGCGGCCACGCTCGGCGCTGGGGGCATTCGCTTCTGCTTTTCTTCTGGTGGATGATGCAACGTGCTTGGCGGGTGAGGGGACGCAAGCGCGTTGGGAGGGGATCGCTCGAGGAAGTGCTCAGCGAGCAGGAACGGGAGGGGGTTCAGCAGCAAATGGCAAACCTTCTTACCGATTGCAGACGAAGAAGGAAACTGCAAACGCCCTGATTACAACCCTGTTCTGCATGCTGCGCCACGTCACCTACCAAAGATCAGCCCCCCCCCCTCGTTGCCTCTGCTGCATGCAGTAAATGCTGTGATGTCGTCAGCCCGTCACACCGGCTCGCCAAGCGCTTGGTTCCCCGTCCAAGGCTGCCGCCGCCGGCACGCCAGCAGCACTCTGAGCGGCGCCAGCTGATGGAGGCACACATAACTGGCGGCCACACACTCACAGCAGGAGCAGGAGCGGGGTCGGCAGGCCGGCAGCTCTCCGGGGCAAAGGGAGCCTGCAGAGGTCCGCCGGGCACTGGCATTTTGTGTCGGGACCCAGCCCGAGTGTGCTGCTGCCTCTTGGTGCGTGCCAGGACGCGCGGGCGTACGATGCACCCGATGCCCTCGCCGTGGATGCTGATGCCCGGTGGCCCAGGCGCGGGAGCCTAAATGCCGAGCGCCCTGTTCAGCAGCGGAACTATCTAGGTGGAAACAATGTTTGTGTGATGATTGCCTACTCCAAAGCTACAAAAGGCGATAATGGAAGCTAGGGCGGCGCAAGGTGTCTATTTGCCACTACCGCGTGTCTGGCTGTTGTACTGGTCCCTGATTTGCTCATATCGAGCGACCTCATCGGCACTCAGCGACGGCTGCAGGTTGGCCGCTGCCTCCAGAAAGTCGGCCTGTGTCACGACCACGTCGCCGCCATCCGGCGCGCCGCTCTCCGCCTCGCCGCTGCTCCTGCCGCCGCCGTCGTCGCCTGCTGCTGCCGCCGGTTGCTGCTGCTGCTCCTCCTGCTCCAGCCGCGCAATGCAGCGCTTGAGGGCCGTCATCCATGCATCACTGCACAGAGCGTACAGGTCGGCGCCTGTGAACCTGCACAGAGAGAGGCGGGGGCAAGGAGCAGAGTGAACCTGGCTTTGGCACAGCAGGCAGACCATCAGCAGCAGCAAACTGCGTCACGCACTGTGCCGTCGACACAACTGCGGGCGGTGCTTCAAGACCATGGGGCTCATCCCAGCAGTAAGCCCGCCCACCGCGGCTGTGCACCTGTCGCCACAGCACGCTGCCACAGCAGCCAGGTCCAAGCCGGCACCCAACGTGAACTTGCGCGTCAGCGCCTGCAGCACCTGGAGCCGGGAGGGCACGTCGCCTGCGACAGGGGGAGGGCCGAAGGCGGAAAGCACGTCTCCATTGATCGGCCATGCCAGAGCGTGAGAAGCGAGCAAGGAGGGGCGGGGCATGAGAGTCTCTAGCAAATATCAAATCCCTCCCAAAGACAACCGAATTGCCACCCACCCACGCCCACCGACCACCCAATTCCCAGGGTCACCCTGTCCCCACCCATCCCACCCACTCACTGGCGATGCCCACGTAGAGCAGCTTGTCCAGGCGGCCAGGGCGCAGCAGCGCGGGGTCTAGAAGGTCGGGGCGGTTGGTTGCACCCACCAGGAACACGTCGCCGCTGCCGCCGGCACCCTGCAGCGGAGTAGGTTGAGCACCAGGCGGAGGGCAGCACTTGCGCTCAGCACTGGCCCTAAAGCCCTTCCTGAACCCTTGCCTTCCATGCGCGCACCCCGCTGCCCTGCCCTGTGCTCTGGTGCCCCGTGTTTATAAACTCCCCCGGGCCCTTGGCAGCTTTGAGCCCCAGCTGCGCCCCTGCACACACCTGGACACCATCTATCTCAGCCAGCAGCTGGCTGACAACTCGGTCCATGACGCCGCCGCTGTCTGAGCCGCGGCCGCGGGCAGGCGCCAGCGAATCGAGCTCGTCGAAGAAGACGACGCAGGGGCGGGCGCGGCGGGCGCGCGCAAATACCTGCAGGCGCGATGGTTGCAAGTAGGGGGTGCATGGAGGGGCAAGGCAAAGACGGCAGGGTCAGGGGTGAAGCAGGCTGGTTGAAAAGCAGGCAGATGTAATGGTGGTGCTGATTGGCGGACGCCAGCCGTGCTACAAGCCTGCGGGGCACAGCTGCCAGGAAAGTCCGCCAACAAGCACCCAAGCGAGCAATGGAGCCGGGTTGGCGCCCTCCTTACGCCCAATGCCCCACGCTTGCCTCGCGGATCTGGCGCTCGCTTTCTCCCACGTACATGTTGATGAGCTCCGGCCCCTTGACCGACAGGAAGCTGATGGAGCACTCGGTGGCCACCGCCTTGGCCAGCAGCGTCTTACCCGTGCCTGCACCACGCGCCAAGGATGATGGCATGGCAGGTTGAGCAGGCGGGCAGGCAGCCGGGGCATTAATGAAGGGGACTGATCGGCGGCTGGGGCTCCCTGGCAGAGCCCGTGGCACATATGGAGAGCAGGGGATCCCAGCAGCCGCCAGCTGCATGCGGCTGACCTGGGGGCCCATAGAGCAGCACGCCGCTGCGCCGCCGGAGGCCACCCGCAAACAGCTCTGGATGCTTCAGTGGCAGCTCCACTGCAGGGCACAGGAGGGGCGACATGAGGGCTAGAGGGGCATGCCCTGAAGCCATTTGTTTGCCGCTGATGGAGTGCACCGTGCAATGTCAGTGTCACAGGTCATGCCAATGGGTCGCCCTGCTTACAGCCCAACGTCCCTGGCACCCGCCACCCACCGGTGTCCAGGATGGCCCGCTTGATGTCGTGCAGGCCGCCCACGTCCTCCCACTTCACGCTGGGGATGCGAGGGGCACCTGCAGGACCGGCGGGATGATCAACAGGGTACCAGGCCTCACAATCAGGGGGATGGATATGGAACAGATGCCTGGCAGACCACAATCTGGAAATGCTGCAGGCAAAGCGCAACCCGAGTCTGTACCCAACCCACCGATGTCTGTCGCAGTGCGCTGCCGCACGGCCTCAATGGCTGCCGCCAGGTGCCGCTGGGAGAGGAGTGGCGCTGTGGGTGCTGCCGGCGCTGCGGCCTGCTCTAACGCAGGGTCAGCGGCGACGCCATTTTCGTTCGCTGGTGCCCGGCCTGCTGCCGCCAAGACGGATGCAGGAGGCAAGACCTGCAGGGCTGCTGCCGCCGCTGCGTCTGCTGCCACCGCCCGAAGCTCGCGAGGCAGCAAACCGGCGGTGTGGCGCGCAGCATCCTCCAGGCCCTCGCTGCTAACTGCCGCTGCTCTTTCCGGTCCTGCCGGCACTACCCCATTGGACGCTGCTGCTCCAGCCATTGCTGCTTGCCAAGCCGCAGGTGCGCCCTGCGGCAGCCAGTCTGGTCCAGCCGCTACACCCGCCAGGCTGTTGTGCAGCAGCTGCTGGCGCTGGCGCTGGTCGGGCGCCTCCAGCGCCAGCTCATGAGTGAAGCAGCGTCGCAGCGCCGGCGGCAGCTCCTCTGCCGATGCAGTGCAAGCCACCAGCACTACAGGAGAGGGGAACAGCTGCGGCTGGCCAGTGCCGCTCCCACCGCCGCTGTGGGTGCGAATACAGTCGGCCAGCACGCTGCCCAGGCGTGCCGCATATGACTGCGTGCTGCTGCTGCCGCTGCCACCGTGGCTGCTGCCGTCGCCCAGCACTGACAGGTGGCGCAGCAGTAGCACGGCGGGCGCGTAGTCTGCCGCTGCTGCAAACGCCGTGCGCAGGCCTTCAAAGGTGTGCCGCTCCACCGCCCCCGCCACTGCTTTCACATCGTGGCAGCTGAGGCTGACAAGGTGGCAGCCCACAGCAGTGGCGGCGGCGGCGGCAGCGGTGCGTTTGCCGCTCCCGGCGGGTCCGTGCACCAGCAGTGCCAGGCGCAGCGGCAGCCCTAACGCGGCGGGATGCAGCACAGAGGCGAGCAGCTCCGCCAGCTGGCGCCAGGCAGGCAGTAGGAGCCCCGCTGGTGGCAGCAGGGGGTGGGACGCCGCCGCGGCTGCGGCGTGGGCACCTAAAATGCTGCTGCTGCTTGCCTGCTGCATTGAGCTGCCATTGCTGCTCATTGGAGGAGCAGACGCCGCCGCCAAGTACTGTGGCAGCCCCACGGGAAGACTGCTGCTGCAGCTGCCCACCAGCTTCACAGCTGTGCTGCCTTCATCTACTGCAGCCGCTGTGCAAGGCGCGCCGACTCCTGGGGGTGCCTGCTGGTCTCCAGCCAGCACCAGCTTTGCCACCTTGAAATAGAGCAGCTCGAGAGGGGCAGCTGCTGCAGCTGCCACCACTTGTTGTGCTGCAAGTGGCTGCGGCACATCGTGCAGGTTGGGGAGCACTTGTGGTAGGAGCTGGCTGCTGTTGCCAGCGCCGCTGCTTCCCGGCGAGCGCCTGGGCACCGCCAGCACATCCCCTTCCTGCACCACCCTGCACGCCGCCAACAGCCACTGCTGCAGTGCCGCCACAGCATTATCAGAGGCCGTCGCTGAAGGCTGGCTGGCGGCAGCACCGCGTCGAGCAGCATTGTTAGAGCCAGCGGTTGCGTTGCCCTCTTGGCCGCCTCCACTGCTGCCATCTGCCGGCGCCTCCGCATCTTGGCTGACATTGCCTCCGCCGGGCAGCGACTTGGCACGTGGCTGCTGCAGCACCGCCACCGCAGGCATTCGCACGACAGAAATGTGCACCTCTGCCGCAACTGGAACTGCTGCGGCCTCGCTGCCAGGCTGGGGCAGGCGGTGCAGCTCCTGCTGACGCTCCTGCTGTTGCTGTGAGGGGCTGGAGGCGAAGCGCCGGATCAGCACTCTGTCGAGGCCGCTGTTCAGGCTGCTGCTGCTGCTGCTGTGGCCACCATTGTCATCCGTACTCTCATTGCCGCCATGCAGCAGGGGCCGCAGGTGCAGACCCAGGCCTAGGTTGTAAGCAAGGCTGGGGGCCAGGTATGCCACCCCATCCGCCATTGACGAGGTGGCGGCGCTGCTGCTGCTGCCGTTGCAGATGAACTCCGGCAGTGCCAGCAGGCGAGCCAGATGGGGCGGCACCTCTGGCCTGCCTTCATTCGTAACCACCACCATGCACCCAGAGCTCAGCTGCAATGCATCCGGCAGAAGAAGGCAGCACCAGGATAAGAGCAGCAGCGGGAAGCAGAGGACCGCAACCAACCAACCACAGGGATATTGGCTCTGCCTGCGCTGCCTCACCTTGAGCATCTGCAGCGTGCGCAGGGTTACGGCCACCTCAGACATCACATCACGTTCGTGGTGCCAGGAGCTGCCACCACTGCGGCAGGCGTTGCCTCCCCCAGGGGTGGGCTGGGCCGAGTTGCCAACCACTGCGCCATGCACCGGAACCGGTTCTGCCAGTAGGGCCGCAGGCAGGGCGCCACCGTGTCCAGTGAGGCATGGGAGGGGGCTGGGGGCTGGGCGGCCGGCAGTCTGTGCGGCAGCGGCCGCAGCGGCCGCGTGCAGGCCCGGTGGCAGCTGCGCGCCGTGCGCCACCAGCAGCCTGAGCCGCCGGGCGGCTTGGGGACTCAAAATCAGGGGGTCCGCCATGCTTCAGGCCCGCCCGGCAACTTCAGGTGGCAACCCGGCCGGGTGTGTTGCGGAAGGGCCGCCAAGGCCCCTTCATGGGCAACTTCTGATTATAAACGGAATTACTGTTCGACGCAGCCCCAGAGGGGCCGAATTCTTGAGAAACTCTTTGCATTCGCCACGGTGGCGTTGCTCCGCCTCCGCAGGTGATCAGGCCTGCCATCCGGGCTGCTGGCACCTGCTCTGCATCTGGCCCGCCTCAGCAGCGGCTGCAGAGCCAGAGAAGCACTCCTCACCAGCAGGGGCGCTGCAATGCAGCAGCCTACAGAAGGATACGGCAGGGACAGAGAACGGGGCAACACTGGGTACAGGCCCAGGGGCAGGGTGAGTGCGGTGCTGCTCAGCAGGGCTTGCCGTGTGCCGTCAACCCGTTCGATCAGCGCGCCCAGCCGGTCCAAGAGGGCCTGGAGTGGGAGATTGCCGCGCACTGGCGATCAGCGGTGGCCCATGAGCGCTGGCAGCGTGAGGCGTTAGCCACCATCTCACATCCTCACCTCTCATGCTTGTGTGCAGGGGGACGGCGAGCAGGTGTACAGAGGAGGCGGCAGGGGAGACCGCGAGCCCCAGCAGGCAGGCTTTGGCAGCGGCTACGCCGGAGGCAGGGCGGGGCGGGGAGGCGGAGGCGGCAATGGCCGCGAGCAACATGCAAGTGCGAGCAGGCGCGAGGGCCCACGTGTGCCCCATCCGCCCCGCATTGGGGCTGGGGGCAGGGCACAGGAGCAGCAGCAGCCGCACGTGCTGAAGCAGCTAGGCCCGTCCCGTGGCGCCCAGGCGTCTCTGCCGCAGGAAGCAGAGGCCAGCAGCAGTGCAGGAGGGCAGCCTGCGCCTGCAGCCTGGAAGCAGCACGAAGGAGCGGCAACCAGTGCCGCAGCTGCCAACGGGGCGACTGCCCCAGCAGCAGCAGCAACAGCGGGGCCAGCAGCAGCGCCAGCCGGGCCTCGACCATCCTGGGCCTCCCTGTTGCAGAGTAAGCCGCAGCGAAGCGCCGCTGCACCAACAACCAGCAAACCTCCTGCCACTGCAGCCCCACAGGATGCAGCAGCACCAGCAACACCAGCGGCAGCGGCAGGCGGAGCTGCCACAAAGCAGGCAGGGCCTGCCCCTGAATCGCCTGCCCCAGCGACAGCAGAGCAGCAGCAGAAGGCAGCGCCACCCATGCCGCAGTCGCCAATAGCAGCACCAGTGCCTGCACCGGCGTCTGAGGATACCGGTGAGAGTGCAGCCACGGCAGAAGCAAGACCCCCCGCGCCAGTCAACCAAGACGTCGCTGCGCCCTTGCAGTCTGCACCGACTGCTTCTGCCGCTGCACAGCAGCAGCATCCGGCGCCTGCAGCTCTTGCAAGAGCGCAGCCAGCAGCAGCAGCAGCAGCAGCACCGTCTCCGCCCAAGCCAGCCCTGAGTGTGTCGCCCAGCAAGCTTGCTGCCCCTGGCGCCAAGCCCTCGTTTGCTGAAATGTTGATGAAGAAGAAGCAGCCGCAGCAACAAGAGCAGCAACCATGGCAGCCTCCAGCAGCAACTGCAGCAGAGGAGCCGGCCACCGGCATCAGCACTGCGAGCGCCGCTGCCCCGCGAGAGCAGGCTCCCATTGCAGCTCCTTCTGCAGCAGGCGCAGCAGCACCGCCAGCAGCATCGGCGACAGACGCGCAGCCAATGGCCCCGGCGGAAAGTGAGTCGCAGCCTGGTGCTGCCGCACCAGCAGCTGGACACCCTGCTGTGCAGCTGGAGCAGCAGCCGTCGCCTCCGCCGCCTGCCCAGCGGCAGCCGGAAGAGCAGCAGCGCGTGCAGCAGGAACAGCCACCAGCTGCACCAGCTGCACCACCTCCCTCCGCTGCTAGCCCAGAGGCACAGACAGCAGCAGTGGCAGCAGTGGAAGGCAGTTCGCCACCGCATCAACGGCCTGCGGCTCCCCTGGTGCCAATGCCAGGCATGCCATTGCCTGGGCCTGGGCCAATGCCGCCAGGGCCGTTCTTCATGCCCCCACCAGGCGCCATGCCGCCTCCAATGATGGGCGAGGGTGCAGGTGGGTCTGGGGAGGCTTTGCCACGATTCAGGCACAGACAGCACCACCGCATACCATTTGCTGTGCTCCTGTGTGCTCCCGACAGACAGCTTCCGCTGCTCAGGCGCTCAAGCGCGCGCTTCACTTGCCCCACCCCGCTTGCAGGCCCGCACTTCATGGCACCGCACCCAGGCATGCCACCGCACCCGCTGGCGGGCGGGCCCCACCCTCCCCCTCTGCCTCACATGGACCTTGGCATGCCGCCGCCTCCGGGGGTGATGCCGATGCCGCACCACCCCCCCCACCCCTCGTGGGGCCGAGGTGCGCGGCAATGGAGTTGGGTTTAGTGCGTGTTTGGTGCGAGGAAGCCAGGGAGAGCATGCACCCTTCTGCCTGCCTCACCGACTGATAGCAGTGTGTCCATGGAGCCTGCAGTGCCTGCCCACACCTTGCGGTTGTGTGTCCTGCCGTGCTGCAGGGGTACCGGTGCACCCCTACCACATGCCCCCGCCGGTGCACCACCCTGCAGCGCCGCTGCCCGGCCACCCGGTTGTGCACCCAGCGGGAGTGCTGCCCCACATGCAGCCGCATGCCCCCGGTGCGCCACCGCCGATTTGGGGCCACCATGCCCCGCCGATGCACCCACCACAGCGGCAGTTTGGCCAGGGTGTGCCTGTGTCGCCACGCAGCATGCCTGCGCCGGTGCTGGGCGCGCGGCAGGGCTCAGCTGGGAGTGTGGCATCTGGCGGCAGCGCCAGCCCACTGAACCCCCACTCTGCAGTGTTTACACCCTCGGGCAGGGCAGAGGTGTCCTCACCCTCGCTGCCTGCTGCTCACTCACCAGTCGCAGCATCGGCAGCATCAGCAGAGCTGCCGCAGCAGCCGCTGCCCGCGGGGCTTGTGCCAGAGGTTGTTGGCAGCAGCAGCGGCAGCAGCAGCGGCGATGTGGGTGCAGGCGAGAAGCTGCAGCAGCTTAACATTCAGGAGCAGTCGTCGCCCCAGCAGCCCGCAGCAGCACCTGCTTCTGCCTCTGAAGCGCCGCCTGTGGCGGCTGCAGTAGCAGCAGCAGAGGGTGCCCCCATGCAGCAGCAGCAGCCATCTGTAGAGGTGCCTGCTGGAATAGCCCCGGTGCAAGTCGTGGCCACTGCTCTAGAACCCGAGGGGCCTGTGCAGCCACCAGCCGCTCAGCCCGCAGCAGCAGTTGAGCAGCAGCAGCAGCAGCCACCCACTTTGGCAGAGCAAGTGCAGGGAGCAGAAGGAGCAGTGGCACCCGCTCTGCCAGATGGGACGGCAAACGCAGCAGCGGGAGCCGATGCAGTGCCCGAGCCGGCAGCAGCAGCGGCAAGTGTGGCCCCGCCTGCAGCGCAGGCTCCTGCTGCCCCTAAGTCGTGGGCCGCGCTGGCTGCAAGCCAGGCCGCCCCCGTCAGCACGCAGTTCCGCCCGCACACCACCCCGCAGCGAGCGCCCGGCCACACGCCACCGCCTAGCCTGCAGCAGCAGCAGCGGCAGCAGCAGCAGCACCCGCACCCCCACGCTCACCCGCACGCAGCGCATGCCGGCCGGGGGGGCAGGGGGCACTATGGCGGCCGCGAGGGTCCGCACAGCGGCAGGAGCAGGGGCCGGCATGGCCACAGCGGCAGCAGGGACGGCCGCGATTTCCTGGCCCCCCACCATCAGCAGCCCGTCATGATTAGCAGCCAGGCCAATGGCGGCAGCCCCAGGGCCACGAGGTCTGCAGCATCTGCCGCCTCTGCGCCCACGGCAATAACAGCGGCAGCCGCGCCAGCTGTTGCCAGCCAGCTGCCAGAGGCGATGAGGCCGCCCAGCGCCGGCACAGACGCTGCTGCCGCTGCCGCTGCGGCGGCGGCGGTGGCGCGCGTGGAGCCCCGTGGCCTGTTCAACCCTGGCAACCTGTGCTTCATGAACAGCATCCTGCAGGCGCTGCTGGGCAGCAGCCGCTTCTGCCAGCTGCTGGCCGCGCTGCGGAAGGCGGCGCCGGAGCTGGATGCGGCCGCCACGCCCACGCTGGCTGCGCTGGCTGAGCTGGCGGCTGAGTTCAAGCCCGTGGAGGCGCCGCGGGAGCGCCAGGGCGGCGGCGCTGCAGCAGAGGATGGGCAGCAGCAGGGGGTGGGCGCGGCGGCGGCGGGCGCCGCTAAGGCTGCCGGCCTGCTGATGCTGGGCGACAGGCCGCTCATGCCAGGCATGCTCATGGAGGTGGTGAACAGCTTCCGCCCGCATGGCTGCGGCGCCGGCGGCGGCGCCACCAGCACCTGCAGCATCGTGCTGGGGCCTGGCAAGTCCAACGGCAGCACTGGCCCCATGTCGCTGCAGGCAAGCCCTTGCGCTACAATCGCTGCTGTGCTGCCATGCCCCTCCCGTTGTCGTGTCGCCCCTGGCCCTCTTCTGCTGCGGCCCTGCACCCATCGCCGCTCCCGGCACCCACCTTGCCGCCCCGCTGCCTCTGCCTTCCTGCCCGGCCGCCTGCCGTGCAGCCTCGGTGGGAGCAGGAGGATGCTCACGACTTTTTGGAGTACCTGGTCGACCGCATGCACCAGGAGTGGGCGCGCCTGTCGGGCGGCGGCGCCGCGCTGTCTGCCACGGCGGCGTCCGCCGCCGCCAACGCGGCCAAGGCGGCTGAGGAGGACGAGTGGCTGACGCGCAGTGGGCGGCGCACCACCAAGCGCCAGCCGCTCAAGACCGACAGTGAGACTACTGTGTCGGGCCTGTTCCGTGGCACGACGCTCAGGTGGGCATCATTGTGGCGGTTGTGGGATGTGTGGCGGGGCTGGGCAGCTGCATTCGCACACGTCGCAAGCTGCCGTGGTGTTCAACTGCTGCGCTGCGCTGCCTGCCCTGCTGCAGCACCGTCACCTGCCAGGGCCACCCGCCCTCGGAGACGCCGCAGCCCTTTGTGTCTCTCTCGCTCCACATCCTGCCCGACAGTGTGAGTGGCTGTGCACCTCCTGCAACCCGTCCCCGCACCTGGCTGCTCCCTGCTGCCCTGGTTCCTGCTCCTGCCCCTCCCCACCATGGCGGTTGCATCGCTCACCTGCCTTGCTGCCTGCCTCGCTGCCTGCAGGTGAAGTCTGTGGATGATGCCCTGGACCTGCTGACCGCCACCGAGAGCATCAGCGGCTACAAGCCCCAGGACACCTCTGCGCCCACTGAGGCCACCAAGGTTGTGCGCCTGCAGCGCCTGCCGCCGCTGCTCGTCCTCTTCCTCATGCGCTTCGACCCCGCCAACCTACACCAGAAGATCAGGTGGGTGCCGGGGTGAGGCGCCCGTGTGGGGAACAAGCTGCTGCTCGTTGCTGGCAGGCACAGCTGGCATTCATGTGCGGTGTGCACAGCAGGCAGGCAGAGCGCCCTCCCCGACCGTCGGTCTTCCCATCTCTCTCTGTGCCGCAGCAAGCCGGTGGCCTTCCCGCCGCGGCTGAAGATGAACCGCACCTGGCTGGCGTCCGACAGCGGGGAGCGCGGGGCCGAGTATGATCTGGTGTCCACCGTCACTCACCACGGCAAGACCATCGGCAGCGGCCACTACACCGCCGACGTGCGGCAGCCGTGTGGCGCGTGAGTCGCGCGGCGGAAATATCCCACGGGCGCTGCCACGGGCATGCTGGTGGTCTGGGCTGCTCGAGATGCATTGCAGCAAGCTTGGGCGGTTGCTTGAAGCCCCGCCCCCCCGGCTCTCTGCTGCAGGTGGCTGCACTTTGACGATGACAGAGTGGACAAGGTGTCTCAGCAGCAGGTGCTCACCTCGCGCCCATACCTGCTGTTCTACCAGCGCGTGTAGCGGGCACCGGCAGCAGCAGCAGCAGCAGCACAGCAACCAGGAGCTGCACTTCTCTCCATGCGCTAACAACTTCTCTTTTGCTTGATCTGGGTCGTTACAGCTCTCTGCCTCTCGCACCTCTCTTGCACACAACATCGGTACCACGCTTGCACCAGCCTTTAAACACAACTCTTGTAGTTGCTTTGCAAGAGCGTTGCTATGCTTCCAGCACCAGGCATGACAACGAGCCTACCGAAATAGTAGCACCGGAAGACGAATCCCCATTTTAACCAGGTAACCGCCGGCGTCAGGCGTCGGGGCTCTCAATCTGGGTCGTCTCCCAGCCGCCCCCGCCCGCGCTCCACACGAAGCAGCCAGGATGTGTCCCCCAGCAATGTGCTGACGGGGTCGCCGTGTGGCACCAGCCGCCGCAGTTCCGCCAGCACCTCGCTGCATCCCAGGAGTCGGCAGCGTAGGAGGTGGATACCAGGTGCACGGCGTCAGGAGTAACCGACGGCGACAAAGGGCTCGCAAGGGTTTGCTGTGGTCCTGCCTGCTGGCACTTGCGTACAGGCAGGTCCTTGCCTCTGCCCCGCGCACCTGACTAGCTGGGCATCCAGAAACTGGGGCTGCTGCTGCACCAGGCCGTCAATCTCCGCGCCGTCGCCAAGCAGCTGCCTCAGGCGCGCCAGGTCGGCCTGGATGGCGGCCACGTCCCGCAGCAGCAGCAGCTCCGGCTCCGCCGCCGCCAGAGCCGAGATGTCGGCCCCCGGCATGAGCTGGCGCAGCTGGAGCAGGCGGGCGACCAGGGCTGCCGGATCGCGCAGCAGTTCCGCCAGCGTGCTGGGTTTGATGTAGGCGCAGCGCACCGCCACCTGCGGCAGCAGCACCGACAGCTCGTCCAGCCGGCGCTCCACCTCCTCCGTTGCGAGGTTGAGCTGGTACCCCGCCACGATGCGCACCAAGCGGGCCTGGTTTTCTTCTGTCCACTGCGTGTCCCGCTCTTTCAAGTCAAATGTCAGGGTCCAGGGGGCCTGCGTCCTGCTGCCCGCTGCTCTGTGTCCGCCGCCGCCACCCGCCTCGCCGGCGTCGGCACCTGTCCCAGCGGCCGCTATGCTCTGGAGAGGACGAAGGGACAGTCGCCTATGTGTCTGCCAGACGCAGGGGGGCGCCACGGATACGGGAGCTCTGCAGAATGGACAGGCTGGGCGTGGCCCTCGGCCGCTCAGCGAGGAGCAGAGCATCGACATCGGGAACCATCTGCAAGCAATGGATCGTGATCGCTTCCCCGATCAAGTGGGTCATTGGAGGCAAAACTACAGTGCCCGCTGGCAACCGATTAGAAAAATTGAAGGACTGCAGGCTGCAGCCGGCTGCTTGTCACCGGTCGCCTGCCTCTTCTTGAGGAGTGGGAACTATCGGCTTTGCACCCGCTGTGTGCCCCAGTGCTGTCGGCGGTGGCTCGAGAGGACCGCAGCAGCTCGAGCTCGATTAGGATTGATGATGGAGTCCTGAAACGATGGATGGGGCGCAGGGGGTGGTCACAGACGCGGCCTGCCAAGTGCGTCATGCCGCCCCTTCCGCGCCTTCCGCCGGTCCTTTCCCGCCAGTCCCTGCATCACCCACGGTGATGCTGCCATCGGCGTGCACCCCGCCTCACCCGTCCCTTCAATTTACCCTGTTGTCTGTTGCTGCCACGGCGCAGGTGTGTGGCGACACGGGCGGCGCGACACGGCTGGTCCTGTGCGAAAACGCCGCCCGCGGCTGCCTGGGCGGCATTCACCTTTATTGCTGCATCCCGCTGCGGGCAGAGCCATGGGCAGATGCATGGTACTGCTCCGAGTGCAGCCAGGTGCTGGCAGAGGTGGCAACACGCGAAAAGCGGCAGGCAGCGCAGCGCGCCGCCAAGCGCGTCGCTGCCGCCGAAGTGCGCCGGAAGGAGCGCCAGGACAGGAAGCAGCGGCGGCAGGAGGAGGCTGAGCAGCGGCGCCGACAGCAACAGAATGCACAGCAGCAGCAGCGTCAGCAGCAGCCAGCGGCTGGCGGCGGGCGTGCAGCCGGGTATGGGCCGCCACTAGGCCGTCCTGCGACTCCCGTCGGCACAGTGGTGGCAGCAGCAGCGGCAGGCCGCCCTACTGCCGGCAGCGGCAGGCTTGTAGGGGCAGGCGGCGGGGCAGTGGTGCCTGCTCGCGCCAGTCTCCCCGCTCGGCAGCAGCTGGTGCGGCAACAGAGGCCGCCAGCATCGGTCGGCGGCACGCCTGTGGCCCGGACCGACACACTGACGATGCTGTTTGAGAGCTTGAAGGGGGACGAGGAGGCTGCCAAGCGGCGAGCCCAGGAGATGGGGCGCGTGGTGGATGGCACCAGCCGCCGCCTCTCAAGCATCATCACCGAGAGCGACGAGGCGATCCGGCTGCTGCATGAGCGGCACTCCCTGAAGTGCTGCACGCTTGCGGGCCTGAAAGGGGTGTTCCCGCTGCAGCTGCCGCTGGCGCACCAGGTGGGGTGCACGCAGCAGCACCAGGCTGCCTGCCTGTACCTGGGCCGCCAGCCGGGCAGACAGCCAGCAGCAAGTACTTTGCCCACAGTTGGCTGGCTGCCCTGTTCAAGTTCCCTGTCCTGGTGGCAGCGCTGAGCGGCGCGGCAGGTGCGCCTGCCTTTCCCCATCGCGTTTGGTCCCCTTCAGCCAACTGCGTCCTGTGCCTGCAGAGGGGCAGCTTTGCGGCAAGCCTGCTGTGCTACGGCATCCCAGGCAATCTGCATAGCGGCGCGGCAGCGCAACGGCTTGAGCCTCTGGCGGCGGCCACGAGCGCGGGGCGGCAGCCCCCCGCATGCCTCATGTGGATGGATGAGCTCGGTGGGTTGAAGGCATGGCTGATGGCTTGGCTCTATGTCGAGCCCGTGTCATTGTGTGGAGCACCAAGGCTTTTAGCCCAGCCAGACAGCCAGACATCGCAGGCAGCTGCAGCGTGCCATCGTGATGCAAGTGGCTGAGCCGCCTGGCCACGCGTGTGCCGCATGCCATGGGTGCAGGCATCCACCAGGATCGGGCTTGGCAGCAGGCCAGCATGCTGCTGGTGCTGGGCCAGGCCCCGCCCTCCCAGCAGGAGGCCATGGCCCAGCAGTGGATGGCGCTGTGGGAGATGCTGCGGCGGGACCGGCAGGCCATCCACATCCCCATCCCCGCTGTGGCTGCTGGTGGTGGTGGCAGGGAGGGCGATGGTGGCGCCGCCACGCAAGAGGGCCTTGAGCTGTTCCTGGTGCCGAACCTGCTGGACCCAGCCAGCATGACGCTGTTTGGCTTGCTGGCAGTACCCATCCCTTTGGAGCGCCCAGATGCCGCCGCTGCACGCGCGCCGGGCCGCGGCATTCTGCACCGCACCTCAGCAGCCGCCCTGGTGCCAACGACGGCGGCAAGCGGGCCGGCAGCAGCGGCAGGGCAGGATGCCAGGCGGCTGCCCCTGGCATGGGCAGACGCGGGGCAAGATGACAAGCCGGGCGCAGAAAGCGCTGCGGCGCTGGAGCTGGGGCTGGGAGCGCACTATGCCACGCCGCGCCGGCGGGCTGTGCAGGTTTCTCGGCCAGCCCGCCTGCCCTCCATCCGCACCTTCGTGGATGACACAGGCGCCCCAAAGCCGCTGGAGGGGCTGCGCGTGGCGCTGGTGGGCTTTACCAAGCACCATGAGGTTTGTGGGCATGCGGGTGCCTTTGAGGGGTGTGGTAAAGAGCGGCGGTGTGATTGAAACCCCTGCCCATGTGAGAAGTCGCACGGGGAGGGACCTGGCAACCCGTGTGACTGTGTGCCTGGTTGACCCCCTGCCCGCACTTGAGCTGGCCTGCAGATGACTGCAAAGATTCTGGAGGAATTGCGTGGGCTGGGAGCCAGCACCTACACCAACCAAGTGTGCTCAATCTGCTGCTGCTGGCGCTGCTGCTAATGTTCAGTTGTTGGGCGCCGGGATTGGCCTGCCTAAACAGATGCAGCAGCCGATCTTTTTCGAGAGGCTCTTTCACGAACGGTCAACGCTGTAGCTTTGTTGACCACATGACCTGCAGGTGACAGTGGCCGATGTCTTAATGCTGCATCCAACCCTGATACGAGTTCCTGGCTTGGAGCGCTGCTCAGACGTGCTGCCGCTGGGCCTGGCGCACCTGCTGGCCAGCTCGTCTGTGCACGCATTCCACGACAGCAGCTTCCTGGTGCTACGTGAAATGATTCAGTGAGTTCCTGTATGAGAATGCGTGGTGGTGGGGCGTGTGAGTGGGACTAGAGGGTGGGGCTTGTGCAGCGGCTGGCAGGGACAGCTAGGCAATCCGGCTTGCCAAGCGTTAATGTGCCAACCCACATTCCTGCCATTGTTGCCTTTTCCTTGCAGTCGGCGGCGGCCGCTACAAGGCTCAGAGTGGCTGGTGCCACAACTATCCCACACGGTGGCGTTTCCGGCTGGGATCCTGGTGGTGCTGGACGCACCCACCTTGCAGCAGATGGAGCCGGCGCAGCTAACACAGGTGCGCGAAGCAATGCTGCTGGTTGCTGTATTGGCGAGCCGAGCCTCTTTGCTATGTTGGCGCGGTGCCAGCCTGTGACATTGATAGCGGCTGGTGGCTGCTGCAGGTACTCTCGGAGGTGCAGCGGTTGGCGGCGGCATCCACGGTGCCTCGCTGCCTCTGGCACGTTGTGGCGACGCCCGCTGACCTTGCTGTGCTCAAGGGAGCAGCAGAAGCGGGACGTACGCCAGCGGCCGAAAACTGGCAGATATGGCAGCACTGGCAGCAGCAGCAAAGCCGCATCGCTCGGCCACTGACAAATGAAGAACTGAGCTTCAGCAGCAACCCGGGTAAGGAAGGTTGTGGGTGGGGATGATGCAGGCCAGTGCTGGGTGAGCACAGCAGACTCAGGTGGCAGTGGGTGCAGGCGCCTGCATTTGGCGTTTGGCAGATCCACCCTGACAGCATCAGCGAGCGAAACGCCTCCTTGGTGACCAAGGTCTCTTGTTGTTGTGCAGGAGACCCACCGCCGGTGGTGAAGCATGCCGTGAAGAGTGCCAAGGTGCATATGGGCCGTTGCCGGCTGGTGTACTTATCCACCATGCACGAAGGTGAGGACCGGTGCAAGGCTGGTTCTGGTGGGCAGCCGTAGGTAGCTGGGCCGTGACTGCTTGCTGGAAATGCATCTCCAAATCGCATGATGACCCTGACCCTACACTGGCCTGCAGAGACGCTGCGGCAGGCAGAAACGCAAAATACCATCCTGTCTGGCAGCGTGCAACACTTGATAGAATTCTTGCAGAGCAGGTAGCCGGCAGCAACAACATGAACAATAAAAGCTAAGTGCAACCAGCAAATGAGCGCTCACAATTATTCCAAACAAATTGGTTGCAAAACAATTAAAAGTCAATATCACAGTGCTGATGAATGAAGGCATGGTGGAGATCAGTCACGAAGGTAGCTGAAAGCACTGATGCATCTCAGGTGCAATGGTCGAGGCTGCTGGGCGTAGGCGCCGCTGCTCTGCCACCCATTGCATCCAGGCGCCCCAATTCGGGTCGTGCTGCAGAGTGGCTTGGTTGCCCAATACTATGAGACCGCGCCGCGCCCGCGTGATGGCCACATTAAGGCGCCGCTCATCCGAGAGGAACCCCACCCTGCCAGCTGGATTGCTGCGAACTGTTGAGAATATAACCACGTCGGATTCCCGGCCTTGGTAGCCATCCACCGTCGATACGGTGATCTGGCAGCGATCGGCTGCCCCCTCTGGCAGCTCTGCCCGGCTCAGCAGTGAAGTAAGCAGCCGCACCTGGCCGCTGCAAGTAAAGGCACGTGGGGAGGCGGCCAGGGCTATGAAAGTGGAAACAACGCAAGGGGGCAGGCTATGAGCTGGGGTGCCTCTCTCTCCTCTCTCGCCAGGATGGCAGCTGGCCAGGCAGCTGGCCAGGCAGGGGCCGGTGGGGCACTCACTTGTATGGCGACAGCAGGACAATGGATTGCACACTGTCATCCTCCTGCAACACTCGCTGCAGTGCTTTCATGGCCACTTCTGCCTCCTCAGAGTTGCTGTAGGAAGCGCCGCTGCTGTCGCCACTGCCGCCTCGCCGGTTGTTGCCAGCCAAAGCTTGCTGCTCGCTGCCCTCTGCTATGTTGATGAAGAGCACTGGGCACGCAGGATTGGTCCACGGCACGCCCTGCATGAGAAGGGGATAGGGTGAGAGGCAGGTGGTTGAGGGTTGAGAAGTGCGGGGCGGGGGTGAGAAGGCATACCCTGCAGAACCAGCGACGCTGGTCAGCCATCCAGGATGTAGCACTGACTGCCCCTCACCCTCACGGGCGGCCTGTCCTGCTGCGTTACGCCTGACTGCACGCGGCCAGAATAGAAGTGACGTGAAGGGAACTCCGAAATTGCGGGGTGCATCCTGTACTGCACCTCCAGCAGCCGGCTGGACACCCCGCCCTCGAGCAAGCGAGTGAACAAAGGCACGTCAAGGTGGTACATCCTGCGTGCACGTCAGTTCTGGGTAAGTTTTGGGGGTAATGAACCAGGTGATCACCTGGTGATCTCACGAGGTGACCCCAGGTGACCCCAGCCTCAACACAGCAGCAGCCAGCCAGATCTCTGCCGAGCTGCATGCCTCGGTTAGAGCCACCACTCACTCTTTAGCACGCTCAGAAACAACGGTTGGCGGCAGCTGTCTCTGATCTCCTGCCATCACCACGCACTGGGCGCCCTTCACTAGTGGCACCAGGCTCGATGGCTCAGTGGCCTGCGCACACTCGTCCAGCACAACGATGCGGAAGCACTGCGCCTCCAGCCTGGCATCCCCAGCGCCATTGCAGGTGGCCACAACCACCTGAGGCGGGGGGGGGGGGGGGGGGGGGGAAAAGGGGGGGAAATTTATC